ATCTGCAAGGGGTGAGATCACAAATACTCTTGCAGAAGTACCCATCTGTTACCACTGCCATGCAGAAACTGTGTGACCTGTTGAAACATTTTTTAAAAACACAACCAAAAAAACAAAACCTTATTTCATTTTTTAAGAGTAGACACTATACACTGTTTTTGCAAGTAAATAGGTTTTTTACATACAAAGATTGTTTTGCTCACAATACCAGTGAGAGCATTTGCAGAGGCTCAGAATACAGGAGAGTCTAAAACTTACATGTATACCGACACAGAGAAGCACCTTGAAAGTTAAAACAAAATAAGTCAGTAATTTATGATGTTTGGATCTAACTTAAAGTTTACTGTGAAAACCTTTGTACACGAAATCAGTTTATTTGAAATATATGATAAAATACTAACATTGAAGTTGGGTGGTTTTTCTTCTGCTCTAGGATGACCCTGCTCGAGCACATGATCCACTGTGTTGGACCACATGATCCACTGTGACCCCTTCCAATCTTACTCATTCTGTGATTCTTGAAAAGCCAAGGCCTTCTCACAACCCTAAGTACTTAATATCCACTAAGTACAGTTCTCCTCCCCCCCTCCCCCCCCAGTTAGTGTGTTTACAGTTGCAAAAGCTCAAGACAACAATTTTTGCTGCCACTATTCTGGCAGGTCTCCACTCAAGAGTTAAGTTCTACATTTCTCTTCCCTCAAACATTTAACACTTTGCTGTTTTCTATTTTACGTTTACTCTTTCACTTCATGCTGGAAAATTCCCCCATCCCCAGCTGGTGGCTCCCTTATTCTACTCCTCATTTCTACTCCTTCTTGCTCTATCTACTGCTTACTCTTTTCTTCAGAGGCTGCTTTACCTCTTCCTTCTCCCTAATGGTCTAATGCATTCCTCTCTGCACACAGCAAGCAGAATCTCTACAGAGAAGGGTTGACTTTATACAAAGACTTAAACTTCATATTATTGCTTTACTTTTGAATGCTCAGGGAAGATACAAAGCAAACAGAGGTCAAAGGAAAGATTCCTATAATCTGCACTCAAGGATATGAGCTATCTGTCCAATCAGACCCTCTAGTGAATTGACAATGTGGTCTACTTGATGCATAAATATAACCATTTCTTTTATTTAAATAGATAAAAATAAATTTCATACACAAACTTTCCGAAACTTCATACTGGGATTTATACAAACCTTCAAATGAACAGATTATCCAGCACCAGAAATGTCAAAAGCCTATTAAAACTTTAGAAAAGCCAAGAAGGAAAGCATACCACACCATGTTTACACACACAGGACATACACTGAAAGGCATTCTTTCAATACCTTATTTCTGCTGTTCAAATTAAACTCCCCTAAAATAAACAAAACAAAAAAAGTTTCTGGAAAAAGTACCATAAGATACAGAGATGAACTACTAATAACAGTGCATGCTCAAAAGAAATAAATCATGCCCCTTCCCAATTGAGCAACAGTGCCTCTCTGCTTGACTGGAATCCTGAACTTTTCACTATTCACAAATTTTCCAGTAATCACTGCACAAAACAAATTTCTCTTCTTGAGAGAAATCTGAGTTGGACCCTTAACGTTAATCACTCCTGAATTATACTGCAAGACTCAGAGACAAAAATATTACCTAATTAGACCCTTTGTCATTCTGGAGTCTCAGCTGAGATTTTGAATTCAGATCAGTTCTCAGTGGAGAAGTCAGTTCCTGTCAGAATAATTTAGAGTGTAAAGAACCTCAAGAGATCATTTAATCTAATCCACAACTCAAAGAAAAGCTATCCTAGACTTTCATCTGCTCCCATTAACAACAATGGAATATACACAGGAAAAAAGTTTGAGATTACATTCCCACGATCACATTGACTCTATCTTGACTCAATCTTGAGTTAGTCATACTCTTAGCATCTACCAATGAGCAGACTGCACAATTTCTTTTTTCACTGTGGACAAGTTGTCATCAGCCCAAATGGTAATAAAATATTCATGCATCAGGCATTTTCAGAGCACAGCATTGTTGCAAATATCCCTATTTACTTAATACTGCTATTGCAGGCACTATATGATGCAGTCTTGGCTGCTTAAGGTATGACTTACTCAAATTTTGCTGAAGTCTACTTCCTTTGCAAGTATTAGACTATTTTTACAATTTAACTATTTGAATTTCCTCCATGATCTTGTTGGGCAGATTCAACTGGGAAGGGTGGCTAAACCATGAAAAATTCAAGGCCAGGTAGTGTCCAGTCCAAGAAAACAAGCCAATAAAGACCTCTCCGGGGACTTGTTCCCTGTAAGTGGAACAGAGCTAAAAAGGAATGGGGTAACTTTTGAATACCTCAAAGCCACAGCAAAGAAACTGAATGTTTTCTCACAGAGCCAACAGACAAGGAGCAGCAGAGTACGTCCTTGCCCTTCACACTGCCAACATGCTTCAACCCAGCCTAGATGAGTCACCTCCTGAAGGGTCACTGTGCTACTTCAGTCCTGGATTCTCTGCTGAGACTGCCATGAATGACATTGTGTAGTGGCATTTGCTCCAAAAAGACATTTGTCTTCTAGGAACTGGATAAAAGCCACTGATTTCACACAGGTCAGCAAGCAACCATCAAAACAGTAGTGACTCAAATTCCTTACCAACTTTTGTCTGCTTTGAACTGGTGACACAGAAATGATTGGGAAGACTCCATCCTCCATTAGCAGTCCCCAAGCTATGCATTAGATGGTCCTTGACCTGTTACCCAGCCACCCTACTTCCCATTCCCACCCTATGTGAATGAACAAGCATCTTTGTTTACAGAACCTGCAATCCTTGGGATTTTAAATCTGAAATTCTCCCAGCATACATCATCACTACAACTGACACTGATTCCAGCTGGTATTGCTTATCTAAAATGCTCTAGAAGAGTTCATTACTTACAGGGAAAAACCACAGTGTCTCTAAAACACCATGAAAACATAAATGCTGCTCCCTAGAATTTCAGAGGGACAAGGGGGCTGTGCTGAGAAACAGGGATCTAGACATACTATTCAGGAAGACTGGTAATCTCTATCTACAAGCTCACTAATCAAACATAAAACGAAGTAACTTCAACAATAGGTAAAAAAAAAAATTGTATCTTTTACTACTAACAAAAACTCAAATTGGAAAAGACAATGTGATGCACTTTACAAAAGACCAAGGCAGTTTAATATTTTGTTACATAGAAACCCAACTTTGCAAAGCAAAAATATACACCATCATTTTAGGGTACCAAAAAAAACCCCCAACCAAAAAAGGAGTTCTGCACATGCCAATGCAGTTTATAATATGACAGATTAGACAGTTTCTACTAAGTACCCTACCAAAATCATTCACACTAGGCAAGAGAAGAGATACTTTAATATCCACAAATGTTCCATTTTAAATAAACTCTGAGAAGAAACTACCAGCTGTGTAAAACTACACAAAAATCTTGGTGGTTTTCAAATGGAAACCACTGGCCACTGCAACTAAAAAGGTGTTCTGAAAATTCATCTACTTTTTAAACCTGTAGTACATTACATTTTGTGGTTTGCAGTACTTTAGAAAAAAATCCCCCTGTAGTTCACTAATTACCTCTTTAAATGTTTTTAATAGACTAAAAGCTTTCTCAGATAGAAATACTACAGAGACATTAGATATGATGAATACATGCATACTAATAAAAAGACTGTAAAACCCTCAAGAATAGAAATTAGTACTTTTCAGGTGTAAGGTCTCATATACTGCACTAATATTTATAATCTGTGGAACTGTTATTGGGTACATCTGTGTAAAACACCTAAACACAAACTACCAGTTTCCATCCCATATTATAGCACACAATAAAAAACAGTGCTGCACACACATTGCAATATTCTCATCAAATAAAATACTTTTAGCTTCATTTGCTGTCAATACAACAGAGTGTGAATCCAGAGCCTGTCTCCATTAATAACAACACCAACATATCCCACTTCACATCAATTTAACTACAGCAGTATGAATTTCTCTCGCATATAAATTTACTCAGCTGTTTTACATCAGGGGTTTACATCAGCACATTGTACTGCAATAGTCTAATGGCTCAAGTTGCACCAATATAAATCTATGTTAGAGTTAGCAGTTCATTTACAATGGTTAATCCTACCATGTATCTAACTACAATGTGGTAGAGGGATGTTCATTTTCCCCTAGACAGATAAATCTTTGAAGTTTGACAGGACAACTGTACCATTCAGCAGCTCAGCATTCAAGCCAAACCAAGTTTTACAAAAACTTCACAGAAATTTTTACCTCTCTTATCCTGAGCTGTCCTTCCCATTTTCTGTAAGACACAGAGGAAGACCTAAAGATTTCTCCCACACAAAACATGGCTCCCCTCACCAAAACTTAAAAAGATAAAAGTGGTCAGGGCTGATTTACCACTGCTGCCTGGAAAGCCTGGAAGAATGGCTGCATCTCCTATGCAATCAGTGAGCAAGAACTGAAGCACATGCTGATCAATAGCCTACATCTGTATCTGCCCAAACCTAAAAAATTACCCTAAAAAATGAAAAGTAGGGAAATATATACATATATACACACACACACATATATATATACACAATCAACCACTGCATTGTGATAATATTTAATTGCCATCAATGTATTAAACTCCTAAAAAATTGCAATACTTTAAATTTCTTAGTGCAATGGCCTTTTTTTCCCCCTCTACAACATAATAAATCATTTACATGCTACCATTCAGTGAGAACTATGAGTTTTAAAGGAAAGTTATTTAAATATTTATCTTACAATATCCAAGAGAAAAATTTTAAAAAAAGTCTCTTTAGAGTTGATGTATCTTCTCAGCTTAATTAACACAAGCTTTTCCTTTTTTAATTTGCACTTAAGAAGTGGGAACTTTACTCAATTTGCTAATTACTACATTTTCAAGCTGTTTTCTTGAAATAGATGACAGCCTATCACACTAGGAATCCAAATTTCTCTTGTTACCTCGAATTACGTAGTTGTCCAAAGCCTCTTCCATTCTTTTCAGTGCTTCAGCTCTATTAGAGCCATAGGTAATCAGCTAAAGAAAAAAAAAAGGTATTTATATTACCTAGAAATTATATGTTTTTTTCTAGAATTTGAATAGCATTTAAAAATGAAATAGGTTTGTAGCATTTCTGCAGTCATAAAAAAGCATTTCTGTGTTTGTGAACCATTACTGTATTTGTGCTAGAAAGGCTCCCTGAAATTTAAAGAAAATGCTAAGAACTCTTATCCCACTCAATGAAAGAAGGCCAATCACTGTTTCTTTCATAAAACTTAAAAGTATCTAAACAAGCTCTCAGAAAATCAGACAAGATGTTCAATATCCAAGCTGATTCACCAGATTCATAATGCCCAACAAACTCCTAAGATATCATTATTTTGAGGACTAGACTCTATCACGTCACATTTTAATTTTACCAATATATTCCCTGTGAATAAGAACTAATACTAAGAGACACTACCAAGCATTTCTTTCAATGCTTCTTTTTGTAAGCCATAATTATTGACACTTGCATCCAAGCTAGACCATATTAAAAAAGATAGATTGGCAGTATCTAAGTCAGACAATAAACGCTGGTGTTTAAATCAGAATCTTCTTAATAATTAGAAACTGCAAGACAAATAACTATAGTGTCAAAAGGTAAAAAGAATTTTATTTAGAAGTGACACCAGATTTCCTCTACTCCACATCTTGCTTCACTTCTTTTGTATTCCCTTGAGGCATGTTATGCCTGGCACCTTTAAAACACTGATTTACCAATCCTTTAGTATCTCTCTCATAAAAGATCTGTGTATAAAATCAGTACTTCATACCTTTAGAATATTTAGAAATAATGTTCAACTCACTTTTGAGATCATGGGATCATAATAAATGCTAATGTCACTTCCTTGTTGTATACCACTGTCAACACGTACCTTCAAAAATAAGAAGTGAAAATAATTATATATTACTGGGAAAAAAATTTAAACATGAGGATCAAATCTACCCATCAGCCTTAAACCATAACCCCAACAAAGCTTATCACATACATTTTTCACTCTGGAAAGACTAGAATAATTATTTGTTTTTAGAGAACCTGGGAGGAGGGAAGGGAAGCAAAAACATTTGCAAATTAGTCTCTCCTTTATGAGAAACTTGACTGCAATCTTGAGTTCATAGTCAAAATTCTCCTTTGTTCTCTAGAAGGCACAGTAAACACAGTAAATCTGATCTGAGAATTTCAGCTGTGTTACACTCGCTTCAACTCTAAACATATTCAATTCTGATTTAATCCCTGCAATAAAATACAGTTGTAATTATTTTTCTGAATGACACCTGGCATGAGGGATGACCCTTATAATCACAGCCTTTCTACATCTACATGTAATCACATCCCTCATGTTCTGCTACAGCCTTCCAAGGGCTTCAGTAGAAATAGAAGTAGGGAGCATTCAGCAGGAACTTTGGAGCTCTGCTTATCAGCTCCATAGGAATACTGAGCCCATGATTTTCATGTCTGCAACACTTTCCTTCTCTGTCTCACCCTCTCAACTGTTAAACATCTTTTTTTCTGTAGCTGCTCTTCCCCCAAGGCTTTAATGTTTACACAGCTTTTTCCATGGCTTTGCTTTGTAAGGACACAGCCCCAATTAAAGCTCTGATTCTGCAATATTCATGGAAAAAAATAACACGAGTTCAAAAATTTCTTTTGAAGAGGCTGATTGCTGTTAACCAGCCAACAAGTTAGTTTGTATATTGCTGATTCTTGTTTTCATCTCTCAGTTTGATTTCATCACTGTAACAATGAGGTTAGCCATATAAAACTTTTCAAATGAGCAATTTCTGGGGAATAAATATTTATTAAATTGCTGGTTTCGAGCACTGGAATCTGAAATATTTTTTTAAACTAATCAAAATAATTCGAGTGATAAATGCATTCTGGGGACCATAAGGATGGAGGGCTCTAATCAAAGCTGTTGAAACAGCAGGGCTCTGATATACTGCATTGTAAAGGGGTGGGAAAGAGGGTCCTGGAATCTCACTTAAATCTTCACCTGTGGGAAGGAACCTTTGTAATAAACAGCAGCTCATCTGTCTGCAGCAAGGCAGAAAAAGGTCAACGCAACGGCTGTTAGGCCTTTAATATTTTAATTTAGGCAATTATCAAGGGACCACATGTAGAACCTCTTGTCTAGAGAATCCACATGAGGGCATGATGATGACTTTATTATCTAAATGACATGAAAAGATACCCTAGCAGGTGTATTCACATTCTTCAGTAAGAAACATTGTCTGACTAGTTCTAAGGACATTATATTTATTTTAAGAAGAAATTAACATATTCACATGTTTGTATTCATATATTTATATTTACATATTTACATTTTTTTATACTTATTCACATGTAAAGGCAGCATTACTTCTGTACCACTAATAGATTCTTACCTGAATGTGCTTTATCTGTGCTTAACTGGGCTCCCCACTACTCACATCAGGTACATTTAACATTAGCTACTGATGAGAAGGTAGTTCAGACATGTCATGATTACAGAAAAAACATGCAGTGTACTTCTCAGCTTCCTTTCTTCCAGTGGCTAAACCATCCTTTCTCGCAGAATGGCTGTCCATGTATAAAGTCAATGTACATGTTCTCACATTTAAATCAGAAAGAATTAATTTACCTACTCAGTTCCAGAGAAATCCTCTGCCCTTGACTTTTTTTTTTAATACTCAATAAATACATAGATAAGACAAGATATGCCATACATACTCCACACATACTTGAATTGTACTGTGACTTTTATCTCTGAAGCAGCACCTATAAAGTGATTGTACACAAGCATTCTGGAGTGCTTTACATATGCATAGGTAAGTATTAACACATATATGTCATCTTTTGACAAAGAAAAAACATATGAAAGGTGCATAATTCAGACCCACAATAAGCAGGTTAGTCAGACCCTAAAGTTAACTAAGACTTCTGAGGCTATCAACTATATGCTCTGCCTGGCTCTATGTTTCTGTTCATACATAACACATGTACATGACCACTACAAAATTCACTTTTTCTCTAACTACAGTCTCTTGAAAAGGCTACCGTGAATACAGACTACTTAAACTACTGCATAACATCCTTTAAAAAAATCTGGAGTCCTCTATGGAAGTTAATTTTTATAAAATAAACTCAAGATGACCAGAAAAATGACAGCAAAAAGAAATACATTTATACTGTCTTAAATTCTCCCTGTGGTGCTTACATTTGCAGAGCCTGGTAACAGTAGGTGATTTTATAAACTATATGGTGTGACAGAATTTAATGAATATTGGATGAACAAGAAACCCTAATTCAACAGCTACTCACTATAATGTGCTGAACTTGATAAATAATAGCAATATTTATTAGACCTCCAGCATTTGCTTCTGTTTAATATAGTTCCTTTCTTTTACTCACTATTTAAGATATTTAGCAAAAGCAAGGGTTAAAGGTCCTGTGTAGCCTAGAGCTCATTCATATTACAGCCCTAACACTTTATTGCTGTTGTATTATCCTCATGTGTTATTACATTAGGACAACAGCAAAATGAATAAAAAATGCTTGAGTGGGGGGGCCTGGGGGAAGCACAATCTGTATCTCAGTCCTGCAATGAACTCTTAATGCATCAAATTCCACTTAGGAACACAAACAGATTCTAGTATTTCTCAATTCTTTGCTATATCTGAGTCTAAGAATTTTCTTTTCCTGGTAGGAGTCATTAAAATACCAAACTGCTGCTCACACTAACAGAGAGCAATGCTGGAGCTCTCCAGATACAGCAGAACACGTTGTGTAGGAGCACCAAACATCAAAGCTCACTACCATACATAAGGGGCTGGCTTGTAGTTACCTGTCTTCAGCTTCATTATCAAAGACAAAAGAAATACTTGGCATTTATGAGCACCATGTTCTAAGGAAATTAGAAACTACATGACACAAAAACAGCCATCATATTCTTCTCTATGGCTAAGCAAAACATGGCTCTCACACAGCCATTCTCACCAGTTCCACCAGCATGGGCAGCTGACACACAGGCATGGTAGGCAATCAGAGCTAACTTGAGACACAGAAGACATGAACTGCAAATACATTTGGCAATAACACACAAGCTGAACTTGCTGTAACACACTACAAGTCTCTGCTAATTTTTCTTAAGACAAATTGTTGACAACTCTAAAATCTAAAATGCAGAAAACAAACACTATGGCACAATGGGCCTGTAAAGCTGTACCTTTTTAGCCACATTAATTTTGTTCTTAGCAGCATGACATTCTCAGGAGAGAAATTAGTTTCATGCTAGCAGAAATATGTGTATTAAGACACCAAATCATGAGTATCTACATAAAAATAGTTCTTCTATTTTTTAATATGACAGTGGAAGTAAACAGGAAGGGAAAGCCTAGAGACTCCATATGAGCTCCTCAACCCAATGCTCTGAAGCCTCCAGTGTAATTAAAATCCCTTTCTTTGGTACCACGATGGACTACATGAAGCAATCAGGCGTCTCCCACCCTTCATTTTCAATTCACCTCTCCCCCTAAGCACAACTCCCAGCCCACCCCATCTACCTGACAAGTGACAGCCCAATCTGATTAAATGCTTGCAAGGGAGGGGACTCATGGGCCTCCATGACAGGCCAAAAGTGATCACCATGGAGATACATAATTACAGCTGTCAACGCGTCTACTGTCCTGCTGGCATCAATTTGATTGCTCCCAGCAATAATGATAGACAAAGCTTAGTGTGCACTCTCCTACACCCAATCACTTTATCTATTCCGTGGTCCATTTAGCTGACATGCAACATTCACACAAGCAAATAACAGCAGTAAGCAGAACATTTAAGGCATTTTAATTGTTTTTTCTTTGTATGGATGGCTCACAAGCGCAAATGTTATTACATAAAACTCCTGCTGCAGCATTAATTGAAGAAAGATTTGGTGGGACAAAGACTGTAGGGGGTATAGTTTGTCCATTATCACTTGTACTTTCAACAGGTCTCACGTTTGGAAAATTGCAAATTGCAAAAACTTGCAAGGGCAAAATGTTTGACATCGTGTTAGCTATTACAACATGGTGAAAACTTCTAACAACCACTGGAGTACTCATTATAAATTCTTATTAAATACACTCTTTGTTTCATTAAAAAGAAGTTTAGATACATCCAGTGATACCTTTTTCCCTCATCTCTTCTTTAAGAGCACATAATGCCTTTTAGATCTTCACAGTTTTTTTTCTCCTTTCAGGCTTTGAACACAGCATGAAGCCTTAAAGACCAGAAAGGGTCAGGTCCCTTTGGAAAGTACACGAGCAAAAACAATTTAAAAAGCGAAATAAATCATATATCCAATAACAACTCCACATTTAAGATTCCTCCTGTAATCTCTCAGTATTTTCCGTGCAAGCAATCAGACTGAATAATTGTATTCACAGATGGTACATTCTCATCATTGCACTGACACAGTGTCACTGATGTATATGTGCACTTATAATTTAAGACTACCTTGATTTTAGAGAAAGGCAGCTCTTTACACTCAGCAGAAAACACTGTTTTCTAAACACCTATTCTATATGGTTAGGCTGTATCCTGAAACACGTAATAAGTCCTGTAAGAAACTCCTCTTTAAAGTCTATAAAGCTAAACAAAAAGTGCTGGCAGTTTCCCACCAATGTCCCCAGTTCTCTATGTTTAAAGAGCTGACTCAACAGTTTACTGTCATTTTTAATGACCACAAGTACATTTACTAAAGCTGTGTTTGAAAAACTTAAGCTGAGAGTTACAGAATAAACTATTTCAGCATGTATTGGGTTCCTGTTATACCCAATCTGAACATTTTTAACTCAGTTTGGAACTGTTCACTTTTAAGCAGTTTTTCAGGTTGCACAAATCAGTACTGCCATGTCCTGTCCCCACTCTGGCAAAAAGCTGGAAAAAAGGCTTGGTTTACAAAGCTGCTGAGTATTTACAGTCTTTATATAAGAGACACTCAGCACCTACAAAAACCAGAACAGAGTTACTTACACTTGGCACATGCAATGGTTCCTGATACTGAGACAGTTTACCAATGGATGGCAGGCCAAAAGATTTGTAGGGGTCCTGGAAAAAAATTCAACATGAGAAAGCATTAAGCTTTTGCAGATGTGGAGCAGATAATGTTTAAAAGCTTTAAGTATAACAGAAACTGCTACTGGAATGACTCTTTTTTTGCCGAGAATTACTGGTGTCGAAGAACATTTTTTCATCTATCTGCCCCCACAACTCCAAATAAAGAAATGGAAGCATATAAAATCTCTTGCATCAGTCAAAAAAAAAAAAGGAAATAAGTATTCTGCACCCAGTTATAATATACCAAAATAAAATATACAAATGACATTTTCATTAGCTAGACTTCGAAGAAGGATGAGAAAGTATTCAGGAGGCCAGGCTTGAAAAGGGAGTACAAGAAAAGATTTTCAGAGATAAAAAGGGCACTTAGAATTTCAATTATCTTAAGTCAAACCATGTTTATGCCACTGGAAACCTACATTAAGGTACATAAAGCACCACCGATACAAACTTAATAGGAAAACAAATAAATATATGGCCTACAGAATAACCTAATTCATGGCAAAGTAGTTGGATTCATTACTTATAAATGTCAGGGTATTTAAGCTAAAAAAAAAAAGCCTAAGTATCAGTTACTCCAGTGTAAAGCCTACTAAAATCCAGAACACTTTCCATGCCAGTCACAGGGCAAATATTTATTCTTTATCAAAATAGTCTGTACAACTTTGAATCAGAGTAGAGCAATTTGGAGGTTATGTGAATGTCATGAAAGAAAAAAAAAAAATCAAATAAGATGGTCTAGGTAACAAAAGTCTCAACAGTTAAGCAAGGGAAAAAAATGTCTCAAGGTGCTGAATTAGTTTTGAAATGCAGAGTTACCTAAAATGTTCCTGAAAGTAAATGAAGGAAGATAAGCATTATTTTCCAGCCCCCATCCCTGAAAGCGTTCAAGGCCAGGCGCCAATGGGGCTCTGAGCAACCCAGTCTAGTGGAAGGTGTCCCTGCCCATGGCAGGAGGGTTGGGACTAGATGATCTTCAAGGTCCCCCCCAACCCAAACCACTCTGTGACTCAATGATTTTTTTTCTTTACTCAACAATTTTTCATTTTCATGTATCAAAAGTGACACCAAAAAGACATTACATCAAAATGTCTTGAAGGTGCTTGAAAATGGGATTTAAATATTCATAAGCTTCTTTAAGGTAAGATAGAGACTCACCTCATAATTATAGTTATTGTTTTGGAATGTGCTTTGAAAGTTTATCCTATAACCTGTGGTTTCAGAAAATGTGTAACTTGGTTTTTAAATGACCTTTTCAAAAGTTTTATTATAAAAACAAAAATTCTGTAAGACATTGTATTTCAACTGTCTTTTAAAGTCAACAAGTTCCAACTACACATTTCAGAAACTTGGAAAGAGTAGTTAACTCTGGTAAATAATTACAGCATCATTAAGGGAGCTGAGCATGCAGGTTTATTTCTAATGATATTTGCTTATCTCTCTTTTACCATCTTTTACTTTCAATTTTCAGGAAAAGTCCATGTTGAAACACAGACCATATTTTTAATTAAAAAATAAGAACCTGACAATTCTACAAAACCTCATTAACCATTCATGTTACATGCTCTAAATCATGACTTTCATATGATATTCCTTGATTTCACCTTGGCATCTATCCACACCTGGGTTTTATTACGCCACAATTGAACCACCTACCCCCTCCTCCCCATTACCACTCATTTACCTCAGCATAAACTCGACATTCAACCGCCCAGCCGTTGATGGGAATATCAGCCTGTTTGTGCCTGAGAGGGTAACCCTTAGCAACACGGATCATTTCTTGGACTAAGTCCAGGCCGGTAATGCATTCTGTGACGGGATGTTCAACCTGCAAGGTCAACAACTGTCAGTCAGTAGGTAACAAAAAGCAACCAATAAAAAAAAGCACCTCTCTGTAAACAAACACAGATAAACAAGAAATTTGACCTGCAAAAGAACAGAGAAAGACTATGTTTCTATTTTGGTCTTTTTCCACAAAAAAACCCTACTTCAACTACAGCAACTGCTGTCTTTGCATGGAGAACACAAAAAAATAATTAGCAGATTACAATAACCCAGAGCAGCAAACAAAAGGAAAACTAGAGAGGTGACCTGGGAGGATTTGGGGGTTTGTAGGGATTTTTTGTTTGGCTGGGGGCTTTTTTCCACTTATTTTACAATTTCAAATGCATCCAGTGACAAGGAGTTAATTTTTCTTTGTTTGGAAGCTTTTCCCATTCAATTCTGTTTTCAAGAGACTCACTGTGGCCATAACTATATTTTAACTGAAAATCTCCAAGTAGCTGATAATCAACCCATTCTGCTACACTTAACATGGCACGTACAGGAGCCGCTACCAATTTTCCACAGAACCGGCGTAGCCTATATCTCACCCATTCGCCTTCTTTCACTAACCTGTCCTGACAAGCAACCAGATTAGCGTAATCTTGCATCAGCGCAGTGTAGCAGAAATGAGCAGATGGGATCCTTCAATTTTTTTTCCCCCTCCCCAGACTTATCTGTTTAGTGCTTAGCATGCACAATAGCTGGGCTGGACCAGCAGAGAGGCTCTGCGCGCTCAGCAAATTGCCGCTAACGGCTTTGGAAGACGCTGCCCTGGGAATTGCCGTCGCTCGCGCTCACGCGGGATGTGCGTACAAGCATGCACACATGGGCGCGCACATGCACGTGCAGACACACTTCTGCCTTCAAATGGGCAGAGAAACGAGCACGTTGATTAACTTCAAAAAGCCTTTAACTAGGCATAGGACAGTAAAAAGCAGCCAAGGTGCCTCCTCTGATCACCACCACATTGATCAAGTAAAAGGTAAGCATTCTAAAAGCACGTTCTTCCCACAGAAACAGCGATACCACCTTCCATACAGAAACCACGACAGAACTGCCATTTTTGTTATAAAATGTTTTTGCTCCAAGGGGAAAAATACCTCAAGAAAATGAACTTTCCAACTCTTTAGCGTGTGATGTCATGCTATGTACCTTTTCTGACACAGGAAAAGGTCACTGACCAAACCACTTGTCTTTCTTCCTGCAAGTATAAAGTATTAAGGAAAATATTCTGTCATTATAACAACATTGTGGCTAACCAGAACAAGTAGATGCTTTGGTCTTTAAGAAAAAAAGCTTTGTAAAAATAAACAGATGGCATCCATAATTAGCCCTGTGTGTGCTGTGAGTTTGTTTAGAGTTTCAACAACATTTTAAGACGTTTTGACATAATTTTAATGACAAATCATCACTGAAACAAGCACCTATTCTTTGAAGGACAAAAGTGACACTGAAATGGGAATCTGATTACACAGTTTAAGGATGTACCTTTGGGATTCAATCTTGATTCTACCTAACACATGATAGTCTCCAGCATGTCAAGCTTAATAACAGTATTTTGAGAATCTATGAAACATCTCAGTGTCTATCCTGCAGTGTTAAATTGAAGCAATTCAATTTCTATTACGAATTGAAGTTTCTATTAAAACTCCCTAAGTTTTAATAGAAAGTTACTTATCACACATTCATATTTGGACAACAGAACTTATTTTCCTACTTTGGAATTTAAGTTTTAAAAGATTACCTCTGAGCTGGGAACACGTTTGGAATTTTAACATTCCAGATAATTAAAATACTTTTTTCTTTTTCCAAAGACATTTGCATTATTTAGTTATACTGCCATTTTTCTTGGATAGCAATTGGCATTCCAGATTCAATAGCTTCATTGTTGTTTTCAGTTTTATTGTTGATGATCAAAATAAGATGGAATGTCTCTGAAAAGAAAAATATTTTTGTTGTTTGCTTCTTAAGACTCACAAACATTTATTTAATCCATTCTTCAATACAGATCTTTGACTTGGTCAATATTTTCTTCTGTTTCTTCAAAATACTCCCTTTGTGTCTCCACACAAAACAGCATTCAGAAAATATGTATAGGAAAAAATGTTGAGGGTTTATTTTTTGGGATGGGGAGAAGTCCTACTTTATTTTAGGACTCTGCTTCGACTACTACTATTTAGGCATAACATAGACAATTCCAATCACAGCATTAATTTAGGGTACCAAATACATTTTAATGTATTTTCATATTCATTAAGACCATCAGATGAAGTATGGTAGCAAAGAATTTAATCTTGAAATCTCTACAAAAACTACAACTAATAATTTTCTAATGTAATTGTATCTGTTGTAAAATCACTCTTAAAAGCTCTACTTCAATCACTGTCCTCTTTTCCACTTTTTATTTCAGGTGCTGTCTTTATTCTGCCTGCCTGTTCTATTTTGTTCTATTCATTTTATGCTATATCCCCTCTGCATCAACAGCCTTTACTTGCCAGCACATGGAGACTAAGTCAAGTACTAAATTTTTGACAAGATGAATGGAAGTTTGCTCATAAATGCAGCTGAATCTCACTCAACTGATCAACTCCCTTAGCTTTAGGCCATACTCAGTTTTGCAGTTAACTGATCCAAGATGTTGCCAGTGAACCCCAGCCATTAAAAAGCCAGTGTTGGTATGGTTATACAATAGTAGTTACATTCACACATTATTGCTCTCTTCAACTCAAAGGGCAAAACCAGACATGTCTGCAGCAAGCAATCTACAGATCATAGCTGTATCAAGGCAGCTGTACCTTACATCTACAGATGCAATCTACAGATCATAGCTGTATCAAGGCAGCTGTACCTTATTCTCAACAGGACAGGCAGAAAAAATTGATCAGCATAAACTCTCAATTAGTTAAGAGAGGAACCAAAGGTGTGCCAAATGGAACACCTTTACTATCAGTTCCTTTACTTACACCAAGTCTGCTCATAAACAGTTGATAACAAGTCATCATTTCAATGGATTTAAGAACGATATATACCACCTCTAAAAAGTCTTAAGTCTCTGTAAGATGCCATTTATATTCTGGCTTTCAAGTCCACAAAGTCCTGCTATAACCAGCAATAACTATACAGTGAAGGGAAAGTGTTTTCCCTTCATACTGGATCTACTGCTCTTAAGACATACCACAGCAACCAGATTTCCCATGAGCATTGCAAGTGCTTTTGCTTCACTAACCTCTTCCCATTTATACAGCAAGAGAAACTAGTAGCAAAGCCTGTCAGAAAATAATAATTACGTCCAGTTTATAGATGGTAACGTAGGGATATAAAAGTTGGGAACCTACCAACATCACAGGCCAGTTAGCATCCATCACCAGAACAGTACGGAAAGGCTCCTAATTCTCCTCCTGTTCTGTGACTGGTTTTAAAGTTTTACCATAGTGGGGTTCATCCACAGCTACAAAAACAGTCATGCAGTTTTTATGAAAGGTAGGAGCTAAGAATTAAACTCGTGATGACTGTCCCCCTTATAATCAGGGGAATAATTCTGGGACACATTTTTCTCAAGACTATCAAGGTACTCAGATCTAACAGCAAACACTTCTGGACACTCTGCTCTTGTCCCTGTGTGTTTAAGGCATCAAGTTACTCACACACCAGTTGGAACATTCAAGCACACCACATCAGCCAAGAAAATCTAAATTTCAGTAGACTTAAAACTATAGCCTATGTCACCCCTACTACTATAAGTCCCTAGTTGGTGTCATATACCCCTTTACATTCAGATAAATAATCTCAAAACTAACTTTCAACATACACCTCAGTTTCCAGGAAACATGATTCACCTGGAGTCCCACAGGCTTTGCTGCTGCAGCCAAATCCAGTATCAATTGACCCAAACTCACCAACTTACAGATGCTTCTTAACTCCCTGTATTTCAGTATATGGTTTCTATTTTGGAGAACTGAGCAGCAACAGAAATGCACACATGTTCTGCTCTTCAGGCATGCAAGCTTCCTGACTACTATGAGCAGGAGCACACTGGGGTCACATCTTTCTGCAAAACAGTTCACATGTACGTGGGGTTTGGGAGCACACAGCAAAAAAACAGCTTTTCATAAAGACTACTGGAAAACAGACAATAGTTGGACTAATGTACAGGATGAATGGAAAGCAGGAATATATAACTGGGTAACTACAGGCATCCTATGCAAAAACACTTGCTGTTTGTTTCTGACTAATCAGTATACAATCGAAGAACTGATGGCAATCAGTACTACAAAAAATTCCATCTGCTAAGATGCTCAGGTAGACTTCTTTTATTGTTTCCCAAGTAGGATGTAGAAATAAAAACAAATGCACAGACATTCAGTACAAATTTATTTTTTAATGGATAGGAAGTTATATTCCAATAATCATTGACACAGTTCTCAATTATATTCTGCAAGGATTTGTTTCTCCATTGTATAGGACAGACACATCTTATGTGGCCTATGAATTCTGAATCTTTTCTGTGTTTTAGACAGAGAGCATGCACTTTAGGTCAAAAGTCAATTAGCTCACCATTTCAACATAACTTTGTCAATTAACATCCTGCACTTTAAAAAAAAATTCTCAAAAATCAGTAATTCTACACAGTTTTCTTTCCACTAAATGGAAAGAAATGTAAGAAAATAAAGAAACTAATATCCACAAAACCAATAATTTCTTTCCTAAAGATGTAATTCCTGCTTTTACTGTATTTACCTGCAGCATTAAAGCTTTCACAGAACACTTCATTCAAGATGGCTCTGGTCACACTGCAGCTATTCTTTGGTTTACTTTACATCAAATTCACCAAAGCAAAGAAACTAATGTACCCTTTGAAGAATGACCTTTTGTTTCTCTACTTATTAAGTAGTATCCTCTTTCTCTACTTTTTTTTAATAGTATTTTATGAGAGTTACATGGGAATGTCGTCTCTAAGATATCACTCCATGCCTTGGCAGCACTGTTAATGGCATCTTTCAGATTCAATGACTTACACAAACAATGTTGTTCTCTTCTGTCAACAACAATTAGCAATGCTTTTCTCTAGTTCTTTTGGGAAGCCTGAAAAGCAGACAACCACTAGATACATAATGGAAGTTGCATTAGGAGGCAAGAATGTGGCAAAAATCTGGTTAACTGTTGTCGGCTGACCCTCTTGTGCAAAGAAGTGTTGTTTGGCAGTAAAATCACCTTTTCTTTCAGTTCTAAAAATGGCCATGAACAGCTGGTATAAACTGTGTGCAGAATGGATTCTGGTGGGCTTAGCAGATTGGTAATGGGATAAGAGACCTTTCACCTTTAGGTCAGTAGTTCAAATTTAGCCCAGGTTAGCAGCAATTGAAAGTCTTTACCATCTGACACTATTTGTTAGACTATTCAAAATGACTGAAGCAAAGTGTTGTCACAGTAAAACAAGATTCCACTACTAAGAAATATGAAGTCTCAGCAAACAGCAGAAACAGTAGCTTGAGACTTTGAAATCCCACTGTTCTGACTTCACATAAATCTACTCTAACTCCTGACAGCCTGTTTCTCTGCTCCCATACTCCTGCCCACCTATCACCAGTCATCCTCCAGGCAGCTCTGCACAACCAAGACAGGAAGATCACAACTTGCCATCCCGTGGCTCTGCTGTAGATACCAAAAGTCGCCACCTCTCTGTGGCTTTAGGTGGCAATCTGGACTCAGCTCATCACTTTGCTATTTGTATTTTGTTGTTACTGCTCCATGTAGCAGCTGCCATATTTTCCAGCACTAATATCCTTCACTAAGCAAACATGTAGCAGGTGCCAACTCCTGATGAGAAACAGTAGAGATGCCATTGAAAGGCGGTTAGAACCAGTTCATAAGCAGTGGAGCTCCAAACCATCTGCAACAGGATTTCTATCTACTTTTAGACATTTCCCTACCAAAATTTTTATAGTTTCATGGGTGGACAAACATGAGAAGGAAAGACATGTTGCATGTAAAAATTCTTCCCATGTTTTACACTAGTCATAGCCAGTTTTGCAAAAAGACAAATCTCTGGAATATATAATTTTCCAAAGGTCAGTAAAATCTGATAACAATCCAGAAAGTGATAAACAAAAGTCTTAGCACTGGGTAATGTTTTATAGGTCTGTGAAAGTTACTTACTTTCACTTTATGCCTTAGAGTCAAGTTACTTTATAAACATTTACATAAAATACCCTTGTGACAACTGTAAACTAAAAACATAGGTATGCCATTTGCTCTTAGCAAATCTCTCACAAACACATCAAATTATACTACAAAATTAATTTTTATTTCCTAAAAAGTTGTGACAAAAATACTCAAAATGACACATGAAGAGAAAACCCACTGCTAGTGAAATCACCATATTTCTCAACTCCAGTCTACACATGTTATCTTTTCAATTACATTAAGCAAATTTATTCACATTTTGAGGAGGAAAGTACTCACATGTTATTTAAATCTTACAACTCATGAGGGAGGCAGAAGGTTGGGAACAGGCCTGGGACACAAACATACCAATTGTATTGATGAAGTGCTCGATTCACATCACTCATTGTACATTTCTCAGTGTTTCTCTAGCCAACAGGGGATGCTTCTCATTTCAAGGTACTACAACATCTAAAATTTGGGAAATTTTCCCTTTGCTGTCACTGTTTCACATGTATGAAGCTTAGCTACATCACACAGACATGTATTAACAGATATTTCTTAAGTACAGACCACAAACTTCTTTCATATGAAGTCCAAGACATCTATTGTTCCAGTAAGGAAAAGAAGAAACTTTTTCTGGTGAAAGCCAGCACTTCTGAAGTACCTTAGAAGATTTTAACATAACCTGGAAGCCAGAAAGGCTATCAGTCTAAGGGGTCAGAAACTTTGTATTGATTGCAAATCTCTTGATAAGTTGTCAAGACCAGGACTGCCCTTGATTAGGCTAATGACAACTAGATAACAGAAAACACACCACACTATGAGCAGCTATAAATAATCAGATATTCAACATCTAGTCTGCCTCAACTTTAACAGTGCTAACTGTCTGAAAACCACTGCAAAAGTGCCCTAAATGACACTGAACAGAAGTTCTCTGCTAGCTGCTCAGGTAGATGTCTCTATGTCCTCTTATGGGAGGTAAGAACTAGTTTTACTATGCAATCATCCAATCCTCATATGTCTCTTATGTCTCATACTTACCAGCTAGTCTCAAAGATGGAAGAAAAGCAGATACAAGAAAAAGAACATTGCCAACAGCAAATAATAAGCCATTCTATCTGAATCACTTAGAGGCAGTAAAACATCTGTAACAAATTTGTGTAGCATACAAAAGACACAATGGAGCTGATTCACCAATTTTCTTTTGCTTCCCAGTCTTGTATAGTATTGCAGCAAGACTTAAAACAAAAACTAAATAAAATATCAACTTGCTTCAAGGTGCTATTTACACTTCTTTTGTGTAACTATACAACAGAAAAGGTATATTCCCAAAGAGTCTCCCCAAAAAACAGCAAAGTAACAATACAACTCTGATTACTGCAAAATAATTTACCAGAAAGACTGAAAGGCATCCAAAAGATACACCAGAGGGAGGGAGAGGAGATATCAACATGCAGTGCAAAATACTGGACACAGTTTAGTTAGCAAGTATATTCTGAAGTCTGTATCTAAAATAAAAAAGCAACAGCGATCTGAGGAGATTGCTGAAACATTAAAACAGACAGAAAATGCATAATTTAGTAGAAATGTTCTGATGATGGTGACAGGTAGCTGTGTCTAATGCACACTGACAAATATCTTTTAAGAGACTCATTTATGGATCAGACACCCATCACTTTGTAAAGCTCTTCCAGCTGTGGAGTGTTCAGCAAGAACAAGGCAAGTGAATCTGTTAGTCACTGATCATAATAGTTAGGAGATGCAAAAGGAAAAAAGAAAGACTGAAGCAATACAAGAACATCTGGAGACTATCCTGGTCCTGAAGTTGAAGCTGGACAAGCTCCAGTAGAGTTTGTAGGTTTGGCTCTCAACAGTAGGGAACAAGTACAACAAATTTGTTGCATAACTGTTAGCTGAACAGAAATGTTGAGACTTGGGAGAAGTGAGAGATCAATTGGGTAAGACTGGGGAAAAAACAGAGAATTACTACTCCAGACTCAAGCTAGAATACTAATTAGAACAATACAAAGTCAGGATAGAGGAAGTTGAGAATATCTAAACAAGTAGACTAAGTTAAGATTAGTAAATTGCTTTAAGAGTTGGAAAGAATGAGTTTGCTATTACAGAGGATTGTCAAACTGCTTTGGTCTCCTTTTGAAATATAGCCTAAGTCCTTAAACATGGAATTGTGAAAGCTTTCTTCCTGCCTATGTGGAGACCTTAGACATTTGGGACTACAAACACGTACCAGTGGGTATTGCAGGGAGAAGACACTGCAAAACAGCAAAGATAATGTCTTAAAAACAGCTCACAAAAAGGAGCCCAAGGATATTCCATCACTAATCCCATTTAGGAACTCATAGTCAATAATACTAGAGCAAGGAAATGGTTGTGAAGTTCTGGTGGGTTATGCATAAAACCATAAATTAATTTTCTTCTATGTAAACAAAAACATGGAGTCACTGAAGAAATATTGGCTCAAAAACTACAAAATGGGGGAAAGTGTAAAGGATATGACCAAAGTGAGAGAATTATTCATAATATTTCAATGAACTATACATTGCCATTAACCTCTCATTAAACTTACCTAAATCATAAATTCACCCAGTTATTACATAAGGTCATGCAAAGATGTCATATTATGAGGATCTCATTTATGTTCTATCACACACAAGCAGCACACAGGACATAACCCTAATGAATGTAGCTAAAACAGAATGGGAAGCTTATCAAACTGGTGCTTGATTCCACATTTCAGTCTTTTTGGTGTTATTTAACAAAGTGAGAAAAGGAGAATAAAGGCAACAGAATGGACTTGCTTACAAGTTGAACACTCTTCTGGTCTTCAAGAATGATCACCAGACTTCAAGTTATATACTCGTTTTCTTATCTTATCACCAGAAGTCCATCAAGCAGTCAAAAAGTGGTAGAAAGGTTAATCTCTTCACTTGCAGTGTATATTAGAACTGCCTACGTGAATTGTCACAAAAATCCTTCATCTTGTCAGGATGCTTTTTACACAGTTGCATTTGAGTCACAATTTCAATCATATGCAGAGTGCTAGTGTTTTATTGCTCATATACACATATTGTTTCAATCACACTCCTAGAGAAACTCAACAAGTGATCATCAAAGTATAAAAAATAAGAAAGAAACTTCAGGGACCAGTAGGCTTCAGGAAAACCTCAGAGCACAGTGGCTAGCCACTTACTGTGAACTCACAGTGGCACTTAGCAGTGACCTTTTGCAAGGTCTTTAGGTCAAGTATAACAAAAGAAAAAAGCTCTGAACATTTACTTGAGTGCTGTGCAAGGGCTCACTGCTGCAAAGCCTTGCATAGGCAGGCTTATGTGAGTACATCTTTTCAGTGAGTAGATCTTTTAAGTTCAGTGGGAAGTGCTCACATGCATCAAGATACTTATGTTTAAATCTTGGCAGGAACAGACCCTTAAATATGGGAGAAGGTTATGGTCTGTTTATTTAAATAACACTTCTCTGAATCTGAAGAGTTGTTTTTCTTACCTGAAGTCTAGTATTCATTTCCAAGAAGTAGAAATTCTTACTGGAGTCTACAAGGAATTCCACTGTTCCAGCAGAGGAATACTTTACTGCTTTGGCAAGAGCTACTGCTTGTTCTCCCATTGCTCTTCGAGTTTCAGGGTCTAGAAAAGTGCTGCAATATAGAAACAATGACTTTTTTTAGTTAAAAAATAATTATTATTCTATCATTTACTTTTCTGTTTAAACTATGGTCAAAAGAGGATAGCACGATTATTAAAGTTATGAAAACATGTCAAGACTGTCAAATGTATGTCTTTACACTTATATTGTCCCTAAGTAGATACACTACATGCTTTACAATTAGTGCTAACGTACAGGAAATTCAGGGCTAATAACCATATTCTCTAAAACAAAATAACACAACAGTCTTAAAACAGTGAGATCTAAAATAATGCAAATTAAATTTTAAAAGTACATACAAACTAATGCAATCTTAGAAGACATACTTATTATCCACATTAATTGCAATACATTCTTTTCCACAAATCTTGGACACACTCAAGGGCACCCAAAGAGCAGCTCAGCTACCACCTTGGAGCCATTGTGAACACTGCCCAAATACCAAGGTCCCTCATTCTAGGAGAGGGCTCCACAACTTCCACTGGGCCAGTGAATCAAAAGACTCTGGAAGTCTTTCTGGAAGTAGCACATTTTGCTTGTTACTCTTGTCTGTACCATAAATTCAGATTTAGATTAACCTGTGCAGATTAGATAGATTGATAAATATGCATTTCTGTGGTATTCCACAAAAGCCTTGAAACCAGTTACCCTGATACCCTGAGTTGCCCCTCAACCTGATACATGGATTATTCAATGAAAGAACATGTTGCTATTCATCTTACATACATTTGTAAATACACTTATCATTTATATTTCTGTTTTGACTTACATTAAGCAGTAACTCAGCTATTATTTTAAAAGTACTTTTGCAAGGGAATAGGTAGTCACTTCAACCTTGCCTCCAAGTTACTCTTTAAAACAAATTCACCAAATGTTACATATTTCTTGAGATGGCTTCAACAGTGGGCCCCAATTCTGCAAAGGAGTAATCAGGGGCCCTCACCTATCTAAAGTGGCCTCAAACCCAGTGAACCTCCATCTGTAGCCCCAGACTGCTCTCAGAGAGAAGCCAGTGCTGGGTCAGGACTTATCTGCCAGCACTTACTGTGGTGTTTTTCACAGAGACCTGAACTCAGAAGAGCTAGAGACTTCTGCCACAACAAATCACATTTGACATGACACAAGAAATGAGCAAATATCTAGGCAAAGTAGGAGACAGTGGAATAATTTTTCTTTATGGAAAAGTGCTACTTCATATCTCTGTCCTTCCAGTGCCCACACACGCAGATTCTGATGCACCAAAAGGCAGGCATTTTCAGAATTCAGGAAAAAATTTCTTTCTTGGCAAACAACAGGACCAACAGGAAAAGAAAATCAAGTCTCATTCAAGAAAGCTGTATGAGATCCTACATCATATGAAAGGAAAGATCAGAAGACACAAAAACTGTGTCATAAGAACAGGCACTAGCAAATGGAAAATAGTTTCATAATATTTTTTTATTTTGATTCAGTAAGAGGATATTACATTCTATGAAATCAACATTCTATAATTCAGTAATTTCTGCAGGGCTTTGATCATGAAAGGTCAATGAGTGGCTTAGGAAGAACAAAACATTCTCAATATCAGCTTCATACTCCATTTCTAGAATAACCATTATTACTTCTCATATAGAGGAAAGAGTTACTCCCCTTCATTACAGTGGTGTCTTCCCTGTACTTTTTAAATGTAGGTCTGAGATCTCGCTGTTCACCTCCTGCTGCAGCCAGAGAATGGAACACAGGTGTCACATTGCTAAACTTGATCTCTGCCACACAGTTAAGCTTTACACTCTGAAATGACTGGATCACCCCTACCACTGGCTTGGTTAATTAACCAAAGTTTTCACATTCCCCTCTACTGCTTTACCTTTCAAACATATTGTTTCTCCCCTTTTTAACAATGCACCTTTTATAACCAAGAAAACTCTCTTCTCCAGTCTAATTAGGCATCACTTGAAAACACAGCATTTTAAATCTGACTTTGAATCTTTTTCTCACACATACACCTGTTTTTCTTTAGACCAAACAGCTCCTACAGCAGCACAAAAGCTACCATAAAAAATTAAAAAGGATTCACAAAATAAAAGCATTAAAAAAAAAAAATCAGTCCTGACACTTTATTCATAAGACCTTCATCAAGCTATCATAAAGTTAATCAGAGGGAATACAATTGGTTTGTCACTTTGTCTCTACAGCCAGGGAAATGACCCACATGGGCAAGATGTTACCTCTCCACTTCTAGTTCATCAGATGAGGTTTCCCAAAATACCCCATCACCTTCACTCACAGACGAAGTTGAGATTTTGAAAAACACAGCTACACCATCAGTGCAAATTTACTGCTCAGTTTGGACAAAATATAAATAAGTGATCAATAACACCCTTCTTCTGAAGATTCCACCACACTGGGGTGGTGAACCTCGATTTTCTAAATGTCAAGGTCAGCATCCCTGCTTCAAGGATATTATTTGTTCAAAGAAATTACTTATCTACACAAAACATTATCCTTTGAGATATCCACTATGTACTACCAGACCATGGGCATGAATAGGCTAAGGGATTTGAGTACACAGTTCTGCCCCCACATCTGAATGGTGCCCACCTATGAATCACGTGCACAGTCACAAACAGAACAGACTCACATTTCTCTTAACCCAAAATCCTTCAAGGATTTCTAGACCTCGAGAAGAAATGTAGAGTCTGACACACATATATGCATAACAACTCCAAGGAGAACTTGTAGATAGAATCTAATTCAATACTGCACCTTTCTGCTAAGTTCCTGCCTATATACATTCATTCAAATGAACAGATGGCCATTCCTTCACACAAGTGGTGAGGCAAATTTGCAGTGCCTTAAGAAGCTTCTAACAGGTTCAGAAATTGTTAGAAAGAACACATGTGTTCACCAAAGTAAAGTTTTAGAGCATTCCTCTGAGTTTACTACTCCAATTATTGAATAGGATATCAGTTAATACTCTTGTGCATTTAATTTTGATTAATCCCAAAGGATCCATGGATTTTCTGATAAACCCACAGGCCTTGTCTCACCACATGGGAAACCATCTCTTATTAACCACTCCAGCAGACAGGAAAATACAGCCACACCTTTGTATTTTTCCTTGCCAAAGTACAGTGTCTCATGGTAACTGTCTGTGAAAATGAACAGAGAAGAGTTTGGACAGTTGAGGAACAAAAATGCAACTAAGAAACAACACTAGGACTATTAAATGCCACTCAAGTTCACTCATCTCTTTAAATGTGAAATGAAAAGACAACAGCATATCCAAAAACATGTGCAAGCAGAAGCAGATAATATTATGGTATATCACTGGAAGCTTTGTGCACCACTAACTTTGCCGAGCACAAACTAAAAAACTAGAGATGGTTGGATATATCTTATTGTCTGTAGTTCCCAAAACAGAGGGAACTACAACTCACATGTGAAACTCACTATGTGGAAAGGGTACAAGCAAAGTTTTTTGTCTCTTATTTGAATCTGAGGGATTGACCACCATGAACACCAGAGGTCCCTGGAATACTGTAACCTCAATAAATGGGTTTCTCTCCTCAAAAGAGAGAGGGGTTTTTGTTTGTTGTTTGTTTGGGTTTTTTCAACATAAGGCTAAACTTCCCCAGGAGAAGTAGAGATACAAACACAAAATGATCCCATATGGATAAGTTCAGCAGCTGCAGACTGAGCTTTAAGAAAATCATAGGTTATTCTCCAAGCCAAAAGGCCCTCAGTCTTCTAACTTAGAGGCTTAGGAAAATGCCATCATAATAGAGTAAATCAAAAAAGGCATCAGACAAGGCCAATGTCAAAAGCCCTAAATTGTCCAAAAGACAAAAAAAAAAAAATTTTAGCCCAAAACATCCCTATCTCCCAGTCCTCGTGAAAGAAAATTAAATGGTTTGAGCTATCTCAGAGCTCTTCATAGCAGCTACCATTTAAAACAGGAGAAAAGAAGAAGAGTCTATTTCCTACATCCAGCCATACCAGAAGAGGTGTGTCCAGGAGTCCTCAAGCTATCAACTGAAACAGCATTTACAAGAAGGGCTAACTTGAGGCTTTAGGGTCTTTCTGGTGTCTCACAGAAGTTAGTGCTCTGCTTATCTGCAAGTCTTGCAACCCTTTGAAAATTAATGGATTCTACAGCCAAGTGTAAGTGATTGTAAGGCAGGTTATACTTCCAAAGCTGCCTTCAGAAATCCGGCAGAGTATAAAACATTCAACAACAAAAAGGAAGAAAAGTTTTCATGGCAAATTTTGGAAGTTATTGACTTGTCCACACTCTTGTAGGGTCATAGGAGGGGATGAGAAAACTTACTGGCAACTCCAACAGAGAAGCCCAAGAAAGTTAAAATGTTGGTATTTCTGATGAAAAAAAACCACTCTGGCTAGTGAGAGAAAGATGTATCATGCCACTTTATTGAGCACAGGCATGAAGAAGGAGCAGGCAGGAATAACAGGCATTGCCTTACATACACTCATGAGGCAGAAGATACTACTCACTTAAGAGCTTAGGTACACATACATGCACATGTGCATTATATCAGGACCTGAAGTATTCACTTTCCACAACAACACAGGAGGATCTTTAGACATAAGCAGCATAAGGTTCCAAGAAATCCACAAGCACTAGCAGGAAGCCTTTATAAGTGGATTTGTATCTTCAGATTTAAACTTTGTTCTTTTATTTAAAATACAGGCCAAATAGTGGCAGTCCTGCAACTATGATTCAACATTAACTAATAAGGAACCTCTAAATAAATGTCATTTGGATGATGTGCTTTTACTCACATCCCAAACTGTTGCATCATATAGTTTCGTGCTACAAAAAAATATGGCAAACCTATTCCAGCTGGTGAACACATTACACTGGTAATTCCCATAGGCAGTGATATACCTGTGTCTGCCTTTCTGAAATCAGAATTTCTTGCTGCCCTTTTTATACATGTATTCCCTGATGACTGCTATGCAACAGAAAACACAGCAAGGCCATATCTAGCATAGCAGCAAGGAATTTCAGCTTCATTTTAAACCAGTAAGATTAAAACAATTTTGTACTTTTGAGTTACTAGACACCTACATCTCTAAGTTCACTATCATGAATGGTATTAAAAGTGATGCAGAGTATTTTGTACTGCATGTTCCAATTCAAATGGAAATATACAGTATTGTGTGGCCTCTATACAATTACTCGAACAGTCAAATACCTGTATCTGTGGTAAAATTTATACTTATTTCATATTTGACTTAACAAAGTGAATTACAAAGAAAAATATCATATATATACACAAAACCATACCACATACTAAGATCGAAATCCATTTTATACAAGATCATTTCAAAAATTAACTACACAACACTAGTTTTCTTAAAGAAAGACACTGTAAAGCAAAACCAAAACACCCTCAAGAAAAACATCAAAATTGCATTACAGTCAAATGACTGTAACAAACATTTATTTTCTTTGTGCTTTTTAATAGAATAAAAATTTCTTGCACTTGTACAATAAATAGAACCATCAGGCTTCCAAAAGTGCTTTCAGTCACTATGAAGCTGCACCAAGAATCCAGCATACACACCTTGGTGCTTCCTCCACAACCTTCTGGTTTCTCCTTTGAATGGAGCATTCTCTTTCATTCAACCACAAGGCATTCCCATGTTTATCTGCCAAAACCTGAAACAATAACATACTGCTATTAATAAACAGATGTAAGTATTTGGTCTTTTGGCACAATACTGTTATGCAGCATGTAGGGTTTGGGGTTTTTTCCAATCTAAAAACAAAGCATGAGGGGGAAAAATCTCATGTAGGAAATTAATTCTATATTAAATACTAATTGAACATTCCTTCAAATTCTGAGTAGGACTATTCTAAAGCCTCTATGTAGAGTCTGTACATAGTAAAACACCCTCTCACTTAAAAATTTGCTTTCTGAATATTAGAGATCTTACAAAAGGCTGAAATAAGATTAAAACTACATTTCCAAGCATTTTAAATTGCACTGCATTACAAAATTACATAAAAGCAAAATACTGCATCAACAAAAAAAAATCTCAAAGGATGCCAAATTTTGCTCCTGAATTACACACAAAAGCTTTCAGAAAAAAAATGTCTAATGGAGCTTTCTTAGTAGGCGAACCACAATGCCCTGTCTTTAAAGAAGAAAAAAAATCCTCAGAAACTTTGTTATCCTTCATTAAGGAGAACAAAATTTGCACCTCCTACAGTACTTCCAAAGGAAATAAAAACAGTAGTTTCAAGACATTTTTAAAAAATCTGTAACTACAGTTCTTTGCTGCAGCTTCAGTTCATGCAAGAGGTAAAAAAATCAAGTATCTAGATCCAGCTACATAAATTACATGCTAGAAAAAAGCCCAGAAGTTGAGCATAGCAGACCTCTTAATTGATTCTTCAAACTAGAGGGGAAAGTAAGAAAAGGAACTCTGTCCCTTTATGAAATTGTTGGTATGATGCAGCCATTTCCAGTAACAAATACTAGATTTGAAGATTCAAGTAGACTTCTTCCCATCTTATGATGATAACTCTACACTTATTCTTAGAACAATTTCTTTTAATACAGACCACACCTGCTCCCTTTCTTCCTTATAAAATTTTTCTTCTAACCCATTTTTTTTCCATCTATCTTCCTGCTCTGATCTGCGGGAACCCATGCCAATATTCATGCTTCATTCTTTAATAGCTCAGTCCTACACTGAAAACCAACAAGATAAAACAAGGAGACAATCTTCCTCAAACTGTGTGAACTCAACCATATCTACTCACATTTGTGACAACGAATCTGTATTATTTATTATTCCTTTTAGCACCACAGAGCAAGTATGGCACAAGGCAAGATGAATTCCTGCATCTATGACACCAATGGTTGCTAAGGCGTGAAAAATCTGGGTAGATGTGACTGAAAACGAGGCAGTGAACTCATGGAGACAACGTATGTGCACTGTGCAGCACCAGATCCAGGGTGCTCTGCGCCCTGTAAGATCAGATGTTTTCCCTCACAGAAAATTCTGTTGCACTCCCACAAATTCATGGAGCTTTCTAGGGAAAAAGGGGTCTAGAAGACTAGAAGAGAATTTTAGGATTTTCTGAACTACAGCATCTCCCAGAATCCTCTTTCCTGTCCAGGGGGAGTTTAGCAGCAGCAATAGCAGCAGGATGCTCCAGCCAACTGCTAGATTCCCTAGCAAGGGACTCAACAGAAAAAAGGGAAAAGGGAAACCAGGTAATTCCTCCCTAAGTGCTCACCCATCCAATCCAGATGAGTGGAGCTCTACAAACTCATGGGGCCCTACAAGAAATCATTTGGAAAGTCCAAAGATTTTTGGACTAATTTTTTGTGGGGGTAATTTTAGTATTAAAGCAGTACCTCTAGAGCATAGCATGGTACTTGACAGAAAAATCACCATCCTGTAAGCAGAATGATTCCTTGTGAGCACTTCTGCTTCACTCCTAGAAAGCCTACAACTTTCCACAGAATTCTGTCTCATCAAAACAAAAAAGTAACAGAACATTACAACAAAAATTGGTCATTGTGCTTCTCTCCTCTCTCTCTGTATTTTTCAGAAGAGGATAATAAACTTTTTCAATCCAAGCAGTAATTTTTTTCCACTTCAGGACTCCTCTCATGTCCTACTAAATCTCAGCAACCTGGATCTTAAAAGAAATGTTTTTCTATTATTAGTTAATGGGAAAAAGAGACATGCATGAACATCTACCATGAAAAGTAATTACAAATAGAATAAGCCAACAACATCCAGCATTAGGCTTTTATTTTTATTCTGTGTTCACTGTATCCAGTAAAGGAAGTAACCATAAAACAATTGTATTTCAGAAGACATTTGCAGCATTCCAATATCATCATGTCTGAGATGTTGTGAGATTCCAGTACACATCTCACTAAAAATGCACGTTCCAGCTGCAGCTTTTGTTTCTATTATCTAAACATTCATAACAGAAAATGCCCCATTTTGAAGGATTAGATTATTAGGACATTAGTACATGCTATGTACCTCTACATACATTTGTAAAAACAAAAATAATTAAATATTATGTAGTGGAATCCCTCCTACATGATTCAGCTGAATTCCATTTCCAGTTGTAGAACTGTTGTCTGGCCAAGCAGTAGACATTCCATGTACTCTTACTTTAAACTTTTTATCAGATACTTCAGGAGAACAAGACTTCAAATCAGTTCAAGCATAAAGTGTATTTGGACTCTATTTTCCTGTTAATTGTTTTAGTCTTTTCTCATGTTTTACAAAGTGATTGTTTTATAGCTAGACACAGGAAACTTCTTATTTAACAATTTTAAGTACCAGTGCTTTGGAGAAATATAAGAAAGCTAAAAAAAGTTCTATTTAAAAGTCACTGCTAAATTAATAAATATTTGGCATCTGGTCTCAAATTGTTTGTATATTCAGCAGTTTGAAAATGAACCAAGGTCAACGTCCTAAAGCTGATTAGAACATGAAGTTAAAATGATACACTATGATATTGTTAAAAGGTACCATCAAAGTGCTTGCATAAGGAAAACAACATTCACTGTATACCCATTATAAATAAAACTATAAATTATTAATAGCAAAGCCATTTCATTGAACTTATTCAACTGTTCCTAAATACAGCACTACTTAATTTTTTGGGGTAACCCTTTTTTAAACCCAAAGGAATCAAGACAATGTAAATACTGCCCCGAACTCATAGAAGTATGGAGGAACCAATCCCATCTAACTTTTCTCATTGAAGAATCAGTAGAAACCTGCTGAATCTCCCAAATCTGTAAGCAGTGAAAGAGATCTTTAAGGTGTACTGATCTGCACAGACAAAAACAAAAAAAAAAAAAAAAAAAAAAAAAAACAAAAAAAAAAAAAATCCCCAACAAAAAAAAAATTACTAGCCATAGCAAGAGAATACACTAAGATGCTCTAGCAATCTGACCTCTTTGAACCCTAAGATCAATGCTGAAACTGAGTTCACTATGTACCTTTCCATAACTTTTCAACAGAGAATAAAGTGGGGTCTAAATTTCATTTTTACACTGTTTCTTCATTTTGCTGTTTGACTGTTTATAAACCATTTCTTCGTTTCATTCTTCCTTCTTCCCTTCTCCTCCTCTCTGCTGAGACTATACCAGCACAACATCCAGCTCTGGAGTCCTCAGTACAGGAAAGACGTGGGCCTGTTGGAACAGGTCCAGAGTACAGCCACAAAAATGATAAGAGGGACTGAACAGCTCTCCTGTGAGAAAAGGCTGAGAGATTTGGGGTAAATCAGCCAGGAAAAAAGAAGGCTCTGGGGAGACGTAATTATAGCTTTTCACTACGTAGAGGAGGCTGCTAAAGATGGAGGCAAACATTTTAGCAGGGTCTATAACAGCAGGAAAAGGGGTAATGGCTTTAAACTACAAAATAATAGATTTCGACTAGAACTAAGGGAGAAATCTTTCATTATGAGAGTGGTGAAACAACAGAACAGGTTGCTCAGAGAGGTTGTGGGTGCCCCCTCCCCAGAAAAATTCAAGATCAGCTTGAATAGGACTCCGGGCAGCCTGATCTAGTTGAAGATGTCCCTTCTGATTGCAGGGGTTGGACTAGATGGCATTTCATGGTCCCTTCAAATCCAAACCATTCTAAGACTCTATGATCAAGTTAGGCCCATAGGAAGCATGAGGCTGTGGGCACCCATCTGGCAGAGTGAAAAAGGTTAAATGTTTCTTAGAAATCATTCCACACTATCAAGTTTACTGTTGTTGTTTCACTCAGTTATTGAGCTACTTCAGGCTCTCACTACTAAAAAAAACCAAAAAAAACCAAAAAAAAACCATGAAAACAACACAACAAAAACCCATACAACATGTTCCACAACACAGAAAGGGTTTAGATTTTGCATGAAAAGAAATTAAATTTCTGTTGAGGAAATTTGCTCTGCATCAGGAGACCTGACTGAACTCTACATTCAATAAATGACAGAAATGAAAATAATGCAGCAGTTAACAAGAATACACCTGATGTTGAACCACAAGCTGCCCAAAATGGGACACATTGTAACTCTGAGTTCCCAAGGAGAGTTACATACTTCAGAACAGAATTCCAAAATACTGACAAAACCACCTAGACCTTGCAACAAATCATTGACATGGCAGTTCTTGAATTCCTTTATCCTCTGCTGCACTCAAGCACTCCGACAGGATCCAGAGTTCAAAACTCCAGCCTTCAGGAGAGATGCCTATGACATTTTTTTTCTCCCCCAACAAACTGAGCACAGTTCACAGTCTTCCTGGTAAAGAAAGGCTAGAGAATAAAAACAGGAAGGCTGCTTTGTACATGATAGCCATGTAGTTTGAGCAGTGACCCAAGACACCGGAAAACACAAGACTCTAGGCCTTTTTTAGTGTAGTGTTTGAAACATTTTGAACTTTGATTTATTTATGAGTTCAAACCTCATTAAATAAATAAACCATAATTAATAGTAGAAATAATATTAATAGTACAAACCTGGATTTCTATGTGACGAGGGTTATCAATGAACTTTTCTATCAGTAAGCGATCATCACCAAAACTTGAAGCAGCTTCTTGAGATGAAAATCTAAAACCTTCCCTTAAATAATGAAAACAAAAAGAATGACCTGTTTTTAAGAAGTCCTGAAGCATACAAGAAAGAACACTTACTGATTTCAGTAAACAGTCAATCTTCACTAATCAACACATACATCCAAAAACCAAGTTATACCATTTGGACTTGATTCTGTAATTAATGCCTTTTTTCGTGCTTTTTTTACAAAGTCAAAAAAAATTCCAACCAACCACAAACCAAACGATTCTCAAAGCACAAAACATTTCAGTGTGTTTAAAAAGCCTGAACATTTACCACAATTATGTATTCATTATCTTCTGCAAAACTAATAAAGTAATTGAATTTTAAGACCCAGTGATTAGCAAGTATTTGCTATACAGAAGTAAAGGTGAAGCTCACCATTACTTACACCACACAGAACTTAATACTCAAGAACAGCAGAGGTTGGTTAATTCTGCACTAAAGAACTGCAAATACAACATTACAGACATTGCAAATTCCAGCACTGAACACAACCTAAAGATGCAATATCTGACCTCACAAAACACACCAGCTGTACTAATAGTTTTTCCCTGCCTTAAAGTATAAGTGAGTGTTATACAGAGCACGCTATACACTTCCCTCTGGTTTTTTGCTTACACATGTAGTTAAAGTAAATATTGCAAGCTACTTCAGTTATTAACTTTTTTTTTCTAAATAGCAGCAAAAATACTCCTTGGGTCATAAGCTCTGACAAATAAGTTCATGAATAGCTTTCTCAGGGTGAGGCAGAGCATAATGCAGGGACCCAAAGGCTTCACTGAAATTTTCTACAGGCTCTGTAAGTCACACATTAGTGCCATTCATGTTGATACATATGGAAAGCTTGGTTATATTTCTGTGTGACTGACTACTGAAACAGCATCCCTGACATGTGTGCCCAGAATAAGAATTACAGCACAACTGAGTTGAAGTTTTCATGCTTTCCACGTCTTGGATGTAGTTAACTCAGGCCACAGATTCGCAAGTTAGGTAAATTTACAGTAGAGAAAAGTCTAAAAAGTATATATTTTAAAAAGTATATATTTAAAAGTATATCTTCACATTTTTTAACATTGTGAGACAATATATATTGTCATTTTGAGAGATTAGACCTAATGTACAGCTTTCCTAAATTCATACTTCAATACATTTAATTTCCTAGTAAAGAGGAAAAAGGGACATCAAAATTAGTGATTCTGTGCATTACCTGATCTAAAAAAAAAAACCAAGTGCTGTAAGAAACAGCCATACATAGTGTTTCTTATTGAAACTGATTTACAGCTATTTTAACTCCTATATCAAAAGCTCTGTTTTGTTTTGTAAACATTTTTGTGTCACAGTTTTATGCACAGTTATTAACAACTGACTTTTTCTTTCACTGAAGGAAGTATGCTAATTAGAAATCTAAACTGCAATACTTATTAAAAAAAGACAGGTGCCTAATCATCTCATCCATACATCTGTAAATCTTTTTCAATTATATATAATAGGAATTACTATCTCAGATATTCTGACCTTGTTTTATCTTACAAAACTGTGCAGTTGTAATTGGCCAATGACAAAAATTAATTCCAAATAGACGTGAGGAAAAAAAAATTAAAAGAAAGAAGCAGCAGAGCAGGCATTTTAGGAAGGCTGTGTAATCTCAGTCCAAGACCCAATCAGGCAGAGCTCTAAGCAATCAATTTAAACTGAGAGCTGATGCTATTCAGAGGATGAAGTTGGACGAGATGCTCTCTCTAACATGCACAGTTATAGAGAGGAAAAACAGGATCTCTCCAAGGTTCCTCTCTCTCCCTAAGGTCTGGACGAGATGCTCTCTCTAGATCACTTCAAACATGCACAGTTATAGAGAGGAAAAACAGGATCTCTCCAAGGTTCCTCTCTCTCCCTAAGGTACATTTACTCACACTGCAGTTTAAGTTGTACAAAAGCATTACTGATGTTGCCACAAGCCTTCCTGTGGTTGTCTGAAGAGAAAAGCCATGCCAACTTTCTGCCTCCAGCTCTGAAATCAGTAGTGCTGTTTCAATTAAAACAATTTTCTTTCGAGGCAGTCAGACACTAACAAAAGACTGGACTCATTACGTGAAATTTCACTTTTCAGAAGCAGGAAATAGTATAAGAACATTTTTTTTCTTGTCAAAGCCAGCATTAGAAGGGCCATCTAGTTAAAAAGTAGATGTTTGATAGCCATTAGTAGAGTAGAAGCCCTCTAAAACCCTGAGAACTTAAATAGCCAATAGATACTCAAATGTGTTGACTTCACACACAGAACCAATATAGATTGCTTCAGATTAACTCTTAATTTAAAAAAAAATCAACTAAAATTATCTAATCAGAGCATTTTATACATGTAGATGGCATTAATATGTGAATGTGTGTTTTTTTAAAAAATAGGGTTTTAGGAAGCACTATTCTTTACTTATCCAATAGATTGCTGCCCCTTACCTGAACAGCACATACCTGTGCAGGACAGACCAAAGATGCCCAGCCCATTACTCCCATTTTTGCACAGTACTTTGAAAGGCCACATGCAATGCTTTGGGAAGATAATAAACTTAATGCATAGGCTTGTAATAGGTAATGCTGTTGAGTTTTAAAAGCTTTGTCCTCTTAGACTGCACACTTCATAGGCCCTTTGCTTTAGGAGGTGAAGGATTCAGAATGATCTTGCTACTTATTATTCCACATTAACTTCTTCCAGTCCCACTGCTCTTTCCAAGCATAAGACCACAGAACAGAAATTATAAGGGGTTCTATTATGAATTCCATTCATAAAATTGGCTTAAGCACCAAGAAAGAATTTGAGAAACAGGACAATTTACATTTTCCTATCATTACACATTAAAAACAAAATCATCTCTCTAAACATCTGTTGCTGGAAGCTGCCTTGGTAAAAACTTTCAAGACAGATACCCACTAAGCATGCAAGACTTCAATATCTAGGAGAAGTTACAGAAGGTGAAACAATAGGGGGGGGTGGGGAATTACTAACACAAAGCACAAACATTTTCGAAGGTAACTCTCAAAAAAAAATTAGTACAAATTTCCAACTTGGAGGTTATCATGCCTGCAGCTGAAGCTACTAACTAAAGAAACTAACTTCTTGCAAATCCACAGAGCTTAAAACATGGCCAATAGCTCCTATTTGATGACCTCTGACACTCAACCTACAAGCAAGTAAGTGCCTTTACATGCAAAGATCCATCATAAACTCTGCCAGAAAATTTCAGTCTGTTCTTTGGAAAAGACAGAGTCCTGAATTTAATTCCTTTTCAGAGCTGCCAGACCACCATGTGGAGCCATGAAGCCTAAAGGTCTAGTTAGATGTACAAATGTTATGAGCATACTGGAAGCAAGAAGCCTTCAGTTTCTCCACAAAGAGGAATTATACAAATGAGGTGTAGGTAGTCAGACACATGCCCTGGTCATGTTCTGCTGTACTGCAACATGAACTTCACATTGCCTGTACCTGGAAAGCACTTTCAGATCAGGTTTGCAGGGGTGCAAGCACAGAGGCTCTTCCCATACCCAGAGTTGGGATGATCAATGACTAAGTTAAAAATACTTTTAGATACAGAGCACAGCAGAACTTTCTCAGGCTGAAGAAAAAAAAATCTACCAACCTGAACTTAAGGTAAACTGCTTTTCAGAAATCTGCCCTTCATTTTCAATATAATTTCAAGTGGACATCTATTAGGTGAAGAAAAGGCATGCTAAACTACACTTCTCCAAACCAAGAAAACTAGCTAGAGATTACATTAGAGTGAACATAGGGCTATTTTAATTTCAGATGTGGGTCAGTGGCTTGAATTGTACACAAAATTCAACTCCAGAGAACTTGACCAAAATTTGGAAACAAGCAAAAGAAGTGAATATTGGGAGGGACTCAAATCTTAAAAAACATAAGAGCAGCCCTACCCAGAGAGGGGGTCAACACTGCAGCCTTCCACAGTGAAGGGCAAATGAACAGCTATTTCAAAAACCAAATTGTAACATTGACAAAACTGTACCAGTATTTAAGAAATACTAGCTAAAAATTAACAGAAATCTTAGCTATAGCTGGAATAACAATTATTATATTAATAATATAGAATATTATATATTATTATATATATTATAATAGAGGACATAAAACAATTGTGATCACTTGGCATACATAAGGGGCATGAAACATGAAGCAGTAAGTTACCACAGAGAATAATTCTGTAACAGTAGTAATTAAGTTCCTCAGATCAGTCTTTACCACTTCCAGTGGCTATTTCCACCACCATGTCACATGTTCATTTAAGGCTCCTTACTGTACACATAGTGACAACATTGAAACAAGAAAAATTTTCAACTGGCCTGAAAATCCAAAAGTATGTTTCACACAAGAAGATTCTTTACCCAGAGGGTGGTTGGGCACTGACTGTGGTTTCCATAACCACAGCCTTTCTCCAAAATAAGTTAGCAATTATAATTTTAGATCCACTTTTACTTTAAAACAGTTACTTTAATCAAGCTCCTTTGCTCCCTTCTGAACTAAACAAGAAATTAACGCCTTCCTTTCAAGTCCAACAGATGAACTGCTGCCTGCACAAGATCAAGGCAGTAATTCTGGATTCTAAAGCAGAAACAACAAAGTATCCTTTTAAGAAAGAAGGTCATTCTAGATCTTCACTCTAATGCACAAAACACTATTTTCCTACTTAGATTTGAATACAAATGGACTACACAGAGCGTGGTACAAATAAATGCACCATGTTTTCTTTAAATCTAAAATTTAACTGCTAGACATTCATTATTCTTTCATCCAATTTTTAGGTTTTGGCAAACAAAAATTTAACAGGGGACAGAAAAATGACAGGGAAGTCTTGCAGGTGGCTAAATTAAGCTAATGAAAATTTCTGTTGTACTTTGAGTTTACTCCAGCACATGTGATGCTCCGTCCATGCAAAAAGGAAAACATTCATGTTATTTTGGATCAAACAGGCTTTTCATTACAAGTTTAGAAAAATCAGAACATACATTTTTCTGTAAGATCAGCAGCACAGGGAGTTTAAATGAGGCTCCCTCGCTGCCAGAACATCAGCAGAGAATGAACTGTAAAATTCTGAGTCAACAACAAAGCATCATGCAATGTTCAGGATTCAGACAACCAACAAGAGACATGAAAACATCTGTGTGTTGAAACACGTGTTGTTTCAAAACAGACAAAAGTACAATAGTTTGCTGATACAAATGCTTTAAACACAGAAGTATGCAATTTATTAGAGCACATTCTGGTAGCACCTTATGTGCTTCCACGTATGAATTATCAGTCTCATCAACGTCAACAGAACTAATGGCATGCATTAATGTTTGTGAATCAGGGCCAATAAATATTCTACCTAACACAGAGAAATTAATAAATCAGCATTCTGAAAGGCATACAGCAAAATGTTATTTACAGTCTAACACTGGACTAACAGCAGCTGTAAATGTTGGTTTTTTACTCAAATTAATGGATGATGTTTTGTAAGGTTTATGCAATAATTAATTAGAAAAAGGCACATGCAAACTTCCAAAGTATATTTCTCACTATGCTAAAGGGAGAAAACCAAATAATATCCAATTTCTCTGTCTAACATTTCATATCTGCTCAACTGTCAGCTTACAATGGCTTAATGGGACTTCAGTAACTGCAGCATTCATCAAGGCAAGCTTTTGGACAGCATCTCACCTGGTCTCTTCATCATCCCAAGCGATTCTCATGCCTTTCCCACCACCACCTGCTGAGGCCTTGATCATGACAGGGTAGCCTAACAGCGGGGAACAATTAGACAGAAGTTCAAACTTTGTTCAGTTGGTCAGAGGAACATGACAACTGACCACATGTCCTATAAAGCCAGTAGACAATAACTTCGTTTATTAAAACACTTTGTTTGCAGGGAGAACAGAGGAGAATTTTTTCTTTTCAAAACTTAGCTGTCAGTGCAGTAATTTCTACAGCCAAGAAAGGCTGTCTTCTCCAATTCATTTATACCAAAAAAACACTGAATGAATTATTCCCAAATAATTAAGTGATTTATGAATAAGGCATTTGACCTTTTTAAGCTCACATTTCTTTAGGAACAATTTTTTTCCTTTGTTGCTGATTAAATAATATTTTTAATTAATAGCAAAAATTAATAGATCTTCATAAATTAAATCTAAAGATTGAGTAAAAAAATATGCATCATATTAACACTTCTAGTGCAGCACATTTTAAATAACAGAGCAGTTCAGGAGCTGTGCTGCTTAGATATTATGTAATGGTACCAGAACACAGATTACTTGTGTTTACAATTTAAAAAGTATTCTTCCCAAACTGACATGTAGTTAAAAAAAAAAAAAAAAAAAAAACAAGAAGCATAAATCTGTCAGCATTGAAAGTATTCTTCCCAAATTGACATGTAGTAAAAAAAAAAAAAACAAACCAAGAAGCATAAATCTGTCAGCATTGTACATAACTGGCAATATCTTACTCATAGAACAAGATACTGTAATATGGATATGAGGCAGGATCTTCTTTTTCTGAAAGCTAGAAAATCACAGCAACAAAGTACACAGTTTAAATGCAGATTTAAATAATGATTGTTTATCTTCAATTACAAATAATTTCATTCAAAGCAACTTCCTGATACAATTCTGTCATAACGGAGAACTTCACCTTTCTCTATACGAACATGCAGAAAACTAAAACTCAAGGATCTGATTAAAATGCTTTTGACATTTCTAGGATAGCAGAAAATTCTTAATGCCTTTGGTCTCCAGAATGTTTAATGAAAATCACAACATTAGGCAAATATGAGACCAGCTGATACAGTCTGCCAAGAAGAGTCTATCCTTGAGAACTGAAGATATATTTTACAAAAGGCTTTGATCTGGAGACAGAAAGAGACATTTGAATATGCTTCCTAGAACTGGTCCAATCTACTGTCATACATGTTACTTATATTTAGTTTTTTTCTGGAAGGTAGATCTATTCTTGTTCTGTCAAGTGACAACAGTACAATATTCCCCTCCTCCTGCTTGTAGTGATCTAACTGAAAGGATGTTCAAGAGAAAATTAAAACCAGCAAGATCTAGAAAACCTTTGTTTACTTAAGAAGTCTGAAATGGATACCAAAAAAAGGCATGAGACAAGCAGAACAAACAGTAGTGTTGATTGGAAGCCAGAAAAGCTGCAATAGTACACGAGAACATTAAATTAACAAAGAAACAGAAAAAAAATTCAATAAAAAAGTTTCCAACTTAACACATTATTAGACTGTGAAACCCCAGGCTGTAAAGCATTCATGTGGCTGAAAGCTGTAGAGAGGTCATAGTTAAGCATATGCAGAGCACAAACCAAGCTCCTATAGGCATGGACTACCAAAAGGCTATAAATCTCCATGCCTTGGAGTCTAAAGTAGTCTCTTGTTACAACATATAAGGTTAACACCAAACAGAGCCATGCAAATAACCTTTCCAGAGTCTCTCTTAGATTTTTTTTATGAAATATCTGATACTGCCCATAGAAGGGTACAGGATAAACCACAGAGTAACAATTACCATGATCCAGGCCTCTGTAATCCCAGAGATTAAAGGGTAAAGCCAAATAATTCTAGGTTACATGCAGCAACAGTGAAATTCAACCAATTTTCATTAAATGCAGTATATCCAACACCTAGACAAGAGCATTCTATTGATGCTGTAGGTGCATCTCCAGATCCCTGGCAGCTGCCAGGCTCCTACACAAGTCACTGGATGTCTTGAAATAAAGCTAAAAGCACATATTGTATAACTTCCATGCAAGAAATTAGATTTTACTGCATAACACCAGTGAATCCCTGGCAATACTGTCACCACCTGGAGACCCTGTCCAAGCCAAAAAGCTGCAGGAGTAAAATTTCAAAACAAGCATTTTTTTAAGCCTTATTATGGTAAATGCACTAAGGCAATTTCCATCAATCTATGTTATTCGGTGTTACATGTACTTAAAAAAATCATCATTAATTATGCTACCCATTTCAGTCTAACAATATCAGTCTCTTGAATGGTTTGCTGATTTTAATTCTGTAAGCAGAATCTAGTCCTAATTTACTGCTCTTTAGTTCCAAAGCAAAACAGGCATTTCGAAAATAAACCTTGGTAAGTCTTTGTGTGCTTCAAAATGTAATTCATCTATCACAACTCACATGGCTGAATTATCAGAAAGTATATATGGGTTACTAGTATCATTCACCATATAGCACTACTTTGCTTCTACTCCCTCCCAACTTTTATATACAGTGATTATATGTCAGCCATGCTTGTAGGCAAGGCAGTTAAAGACTCCCAAGAGCCACTGTATAAGTCAAAAAAAAAAAAAAAAACCAGGTTTTGAAAAAAAAATTAACTAAGGCTTGTTTTGAAAAAAATACATACAGCTTTTCTGGTTGAGAAGGAAAAATTGCAACAGACCTCTACATGTTAGCATCTAAATTAGCCAGTCACATGAAAATAAGGGTAGTACTGGAGCATTTCTCAAATATGAGGTTACACACTGCTCGCTCTTGGGGAGCTAAGCTGAACTAAGCTACAGAGCAGCTCTTTAGCCAATACTAAAGACTGAATGGAAGGCCTTGTAAAATTTCAGTTTTGCATATGTATTGGTTAGAGGATACTGGGATCAGAATGCATTACTGAACACTCTCCACTTTTGTAGCAATCAAAATCGCTAAAGTATGTTCACATGGATTGGTTGGATTAGTTGTGGGAAGGGAGAGGCATGCAAACAATTTCTAACATTTATTTGTAAGTACCCACAACAACAGCAATGAAAAGACTCACAAAGCAGACACATTTTTGAGTAGGTGTTAGGTTTTCCATCCTTCCCTCAAATTAGATGCCACTTTATGTGAAATTAAAATTGCATGTGAGATTAAAACCTACTCTTGTTTTATGGTTTTCCAATCTTGTGACACCTCGTAAGGATGGAGTTAAAGATCTTAGGAGGCAAGAAAGCAAAAAGCAGTCAGACTTGAAGATCACTGCACCTGCTCTTGCTGCTAAATAGGTACTCATAAGTTAGGACTGCTTTGTTTCCAGGACAGCTACTGTTCTGAGAATCTGAATTATAAAAGGAGTAAACAAACTTCAGATGTCCTGCAACTGTTAGCTCCCACCCTTTGCCACCATGGTTTTTAGATGTAATTTACCCATTTTTGAAGTTGCAGGTACTAGACCACAGAACACATTGTGCAATATCAGTTTGAGCAACATTGCATGTGACAATACAAGATTCTTTTCAATATCCATTATTAAATCCATTAAATGATAGCACTAACTAAACCCATGTCAAATGAAACATGACAAAAAACCATCTTGTTCATCTCTTCAGTTTTGTACAGACTTTCATTTTGTTTTAACTGACTGCATTTCATAGCTGCTCAATCCTTTCAAATAGAGGAGTCAAACTTTCTGGAGTTTCATTGATGCTTCAGAATTAAGAAGCCAACAGTTCTTAATGTACAATCCTACAAAACAGACCTAGAGCAGCACGGGAAAAGGGCTAATGCAATTAAGCACTATAGAAAGGATCAGAAGAGCACAACAGCCCACACCAACAGATACAAAAGAGAGACAGTAGAAAGGAGCCAATACAGCAATTTGTGCCTGAATTTCTTCCAGTTTCTGATTTAACCTAGTTTTCCTGTCACATTCTCGATACAATACAGGAAAACATCTCAAATCATCTCAAATCAGGGCAAAAGAAGGATTCACTCCCACACCTAGAAAATGTGTATCCATAGATAATAGTCACTGAAACAGGTAAAGGCTGTGTTCTCAACTCTGAGGTGCCATATTCCACTACTACTGGATCTTTGGCCAAAACTCAGCGGGGAGAAGCAGAAAAAACCACAGGCAGCACACACTGTTCTACTGTTTTGAGCATTGACCCATGGTCACTTTAAGAATTACTTGAGCTTTCTTAGAAGACTGAAACACTGGATTAGTGAAATTAGAAACCATCTGAAAGTATTTCACTGCTTATCAAGTGCTTTATATACAAGGACAAATACATTACATATATACACGAGAGACTATAATTTCATTCTATCTTAGATCCTTTGAAATTAAAATCACTATGTTTAATTCTGGTCAGTGGTTACAATTAGACAGAAGCTTAACCAAACTTGTCAAACCATGAGTGGGGAAAAAGCTAGAAGGAATATTTTTCTTTCACTACATGGTACAAACCCTTCTTGTACCACAGCAGTTTAAGAATTTTCCATCTAAATAAAGCACCACCCAGCTGTCTGTAATTGACTTTATTATCACAGATTTAAGACTGCCTTGATATAATGACCTCCAAAGTGCTAGTAATATCAAAGACAGGAACCAGTCAACAGAACACCAGAAGAATTCAGAAGAAAATTAAAAAAGAATGTATTTTAAAGGGTGTCTAGAAAGGCACTGCATGCCTTCTAACTTACATCCATCAAAACTGTTTAAGAAAGTACCTGCAGAAAATCTTTAAAACACAAGAGCAAGAAAGATCATTGAAGAGAAAGTGAACTGAAATAATGTCACATTACTATGTCTTTATGCAGGACTGAACCAAATTTTATTTACTGTTCTCTTTTGGATATTCCAGTTTGGTTAATAGACTCTTTCTCTTGGTAATGCCGCCATGACAGCGATCAGTTATCACAACCAAGACACGAAGCCTGACTACTCACAGAAACGCTGACTTAGATTGTGTCAGCCTAAAAGTCAGACAAGCCTAGGAGGAGTTTCAGGGCAGTTCACCAGTGCAGGGTAAAAGCCCCAACTTAAACTGAAAGCAGAAAACTTCTAAGCAGTGTAAGATCTATCTGTAGCAGTGCGACTCCCACTTTCTATCTAGCAGATAAAGGCACAGCAATAGCTCTTGACACAGGTGAAAAGCTGTTTATTTACCTGTGATAAACCTAAATAGTTTCTCATGGTTGCAATCTCAAAGGGAAAATTAAAGATAAACCCCAAGAAAAATCAGATCTTACAGCATTAGATTCTTCTTCTAGAAAGCATTTACAAACGTGTAATTTCAAGCATATGGTTTAGCATTTTCACTAATATCAAGCTTTAGTAAATAAAAGCCAAAACTCATTAAACACATATTCCACTTAACCTTCATCAAAATTAGTCCCAGACTCATTTGCTGGTTGCTCTTTTCACCATTCTGTAAGATACCCAGAAGCTGAATAGTGACTTTATTCCAGTAAGCACAGAAGGCTGGTGCTCTGGATCATATTCAAGCTAGCTGCAGTCCACACAGTGATGAAGAATGCAGATCATAACATCACTGATGTCAGTCTCCACATAAAGAGACGTGTACCATGCCTAAATTTTGACTATCATGTCCAGTTGCAGATAAACCTTCAGGTAACTCCTAGTGAGGTACTCATTACTGCATATTACATTCATTCCACAAATCATGGCTGCACTTGTTCTGTAAAGTCCAGTTTGAAAAGCTCAAATGTGATTATTTAAGAGACGGGGCGTTAATGCCTAGATTCCTTCAGCCCTATGGGCAACAGGGAACTTAAAAACTATTAAAACATTATTTGTTCTATAGGGATTACTTATTACACATTCAATTTAGTCAACCATGTCTGCTGAGAGGCACACAAATCCCACCATAGCTAATTTAAGAACTTACCAATTTCCCTTGCAATTCTGACAGCTTCATCTGCATCCTGTAAAAGCAGGAAATGAGACCCAACGTTAATCCCATCAGCCATTGCACTGTGTCCTGAGGGCAGTCATATATTGCACTACTGTCTCCTCCGATTCATTTAATGTTTGATTTTACAACCTCCTGACCCTTTTCAGCCAGAGGAATGTAAAATTAATACCATAAGTGGAATGTAAATTCTACCTCATCATTAGTGCACTGAGGAACTCAAAGCAATGAGGAATCAGCTGACAGGAAACACAACCAGGATCGCAAAATTATTTTCTGCAGTTGTAGGAATTTAATGCTAGAATTTAGACGTTTACAATCAATAATGGACCATAAATCAGATCGTTAAAGTTTGTCCACTACCAGCTTGTTTCTGTCCTCACAGGTATTCCTTGTGTTTTCCTGATTGCTGTCAGTAGGGGGAGTTGATTCTCTATTGTTTGGGAGTAATTCAAGTTCAGGGAAAAAAAACCTTGTAGAACTTCTTCAGAGACAAATGGGTTTTGTTTACTCAAGAAAGAACACAAACAGTTCAGTTTTGAAAGTTCTGCATTCTGAAAATAAAATAAACCTTAAATGCATCATTTTAAACTGTATCTGAAAGGAGAAGACTCCCATAACTGTTTTCATTTAAGAGTTGCATAAGCCAACTTGACAAATCCTTTTGTTGATGCCACCTCTTGCTTCCGCTGTCTCATACTACTGTAGCCAGGTACAGAAAAAAGTCCTGGGAAACTCAGAGAATAAAAACCAGAATACTTCATTACTTGCATTTCAAAAACCAAATCACTTCTTCTGCAGCATTTAATTCTCATTATTTCTACTGATAACAGTATATTTCCATTACACCAAATTAGAAAGAAAAAGGGTTAAATTACAGTGGTACACGTTAAGCTTGAAAATTCCATCCAAATTTGATAATATTTATACTATCCCATGACATACATTAAAAAATTTGTATAGAAGGCAGTAATGTCTGGAAACCACCAGCTGCTAAGTGTGTCTGAAACTATGGGGGCTGACTTATGAACATTAAACTGAAACCTGATATTTTTAAAGCTTTCAAGGCAATCCATTTTAAAAGCACCCAGGTCAGAACTTTAAAAAAAATACATAAGAAATGTTCATACCTGGTTCATTTATGTCCGATAATAAAACAAAATCCTCTTTAAAAGTCTTCAGTACCTAGTAACAGCCCCATGAAGAATAAGAGGGCTGGCAGGGGAAGTTGTCAGAAAATTTAATTTCCTTTCATTAGCTAGTCTGCTCCACAAATCGGTGCTTGTTAAGTTCAAAGCAGTCCTGAAAGCAACATCAGTTTTAAGTCTTTTTACTCCAGTCACATCTGTTAATGAGATTTTTCCAAATAACAATTGTTTTTAACTCAAGAGATAAATCTAGCAAAAAAAAAAAAAAAACAAACCTGCCCCTCACACCCCCTCCCAAAAAAAACCTCAAGAGTTTACTGTTTTATTACACCTTGCTGCTTTGCATGACCCTGCACCCTCCAAATTTTAGCTTAAAGGGATAAAATGCATGAAAAGGGTCATTTAAGAATGTTAGTGGTTTCCACACATTGAGTTTGAAGGTTCTTTGTTCCTGCCTGTGACAGTTATGCGAGAATACTTCCCCTTAATAGCCTCTCTGTCAGGAAGTGTTAAACCTGCCAAATGCAGACAATTAGAGCCTCTTGAACAAAATGCAGGAAGAGTGATGACTGATGAAGAGCCACGATTATAGTTGAGAAGGAAACTTTTACATTTCTTTTCTCTTGCAAATTCCCCCACATATTTGCAAAATAGAATTAAGGGGGGGAAGCAAACAGGGTAATCTTTTTTCACTTAGTTACCTGCAAACAAGTGGCTAACTGATACACTGTAGTCCACAGGAAGACAAGCTGCAAATCATTAGAGAGGAACTTTTCACTGCCACTGTATTTTTACACATGCATGCAACAACTTTAAGTAACAACTGATTGGTATCAGCAGCACTAATTGTCTTAGTTCTGGCTTGAAAAGATTTTAGACATCTGCCCAGCACAGTTATTAATTTACACTGTGTCAACATCTGTTTCTTTTACAGTTCTAACATATTAGAATGCAAACTGTAAGACAGGAGCGGAAAAAAAAAATCCATGCATACTCCAATTTTCGCTTTCAAAGAGCATTTCTTAACCAGAAAACAAAAATATGCTATGATTTAAAGAGGAAAACCAACAACAACAACAAAAATTGATATATTGAAATCTCTGGTAAGTCTTTTGCTCTTTTTCCATAAGAAGGTGTGTTGAATATTTGTTTAAAATATCATGAATTTCACTTGCTGATTACATAAATACAGAAGCAGTTTGAGTAATCAAGGAAAGTTAGGACAGTAATTTTAGCTTTTTGGTATATAAAACTTATGACAGATACATAATATTTGCACAAGAGGGGCAAAAAAGTGAACACTACGATACTGCCCAACACACATGTCCATATGTGCAAAATATACAAAACCACACTGGAACTAAAAACACATTAAATTATTTTTTAAAAGCAAAAGTCCTCAATGATTTACTGCTATTTCTTCCAAAAGCACATTAGCTACACTACCATTTTCCCAAAATAAACTGGAAACTGTAAAGAAATATATAATTTTAGCACCACTTTTTATTGTACAAATAAAAATGTTCAAGTAATGGTAGAAGTTAATAAAAGTCCTAAGAGTTATAAAATTATGTCAGTGTTTTCACAAATAGGTGATTCCATTAAGTTAAAGAGACATAAAATACTCCTTTCAGCATAAGAATTCCTAACCTCCTACTTTCATGTACATGCCTCTCAACCAGGTACCAGCAGGTGGAGACAGAAAAAGAAAACTGCCTTGATGTGGGGGAATGCCGGGGTAAAGCTGATTAAGTGACTCCTAGAACTGTGAAACATTGTATTAATGATGAAGAACTGCACCACGGTTTTCACGGCTGAGGGTGTTAGCCTTAGAGAACCTCCAGCTCATATCCAGAATCTTTAACAACCTCTCCAACAGTGATCGTTCAATCCTAATGTCATTATCCCAGTGTAAAAATTCATCTAAAACAGGTACCCAAAACTTAACTACAGTAAATTCAGAGCCTAGCTAAAGACCTCTAACATGTTTACTGACATCAGTGAAACTCAGTAGACACAGACATTATTCTTCTGTGTCTACATCCAGCTGCATTCTACCAGCCATAAAACCAAACTGGCTGTATATGGTGAAACAATACAAAACTCATTCTTTCCTTGCCATTCCTTTCCCAGTTTTTCACCACAGCATGTTCTTATGCTCATTACTCAGCCTCCACTTTCTAGTCCCTTACTTCCCTTTAGCTGTTTACAGTCAATACATCACCTCAGCCCTAACGTTAGTATAGCCATTGCTCACATGGATTAATGCTAATTATTTTGATTAAAACCGTTTATGACTACATCTCCCAATCAGGTTTTATAAAACTAATTCTAGTTACACATTTTGAAATTAATTACCTTTGAATGCTTTTGTTGGCTCTCTAGCTGACAGCACAAGACTCCAGTTCCTTATATGTTCAGAATGGATTTCTCAATTGCCCCAGCCAACTGAGAAACTGAACCAGGAATGAGAAGAAAATTACTCTTTGTCAAACTGCCCTCTCCATTCCACATCTTTCCACTCTCAGTTTCATATTTGCTAGAGCATTTGCCAGTATAAGAACAGTTACTCGTGGCTGATGCCAAGCATCGTCCTCTTTAATCCTTCCAGCTTTAAGTATATTGTTGAAAGGCTTCCTCCTTTTAAATTTCTAATTTAATTACTACTCACTGGGAATCCTTCTGCATTCAACTTCTCCAAGATGTTATTACAAAACCTTAGCAGTGTCTCCTAGGTCTAAGTGCTAAGCAACATAAGAGATGAAAAATATCCTTTATTCAGGAAGGACCTAAGTATCTGCAGCACTAGTTAACAAGGATAAAGACAACTCTTCTAGTAACAAACATTTTCAGTGCAGTCCTGAGCTGAATAATGAAGCAATAGAAGTTGTTACTCTGTGTTTGCTTTAACTATCACAAAGAACACATGCAACAGATCTGTCTCAATTTCTAGCATTGTCAGAGGCATAAATGCAGTTTTCCTCCAGCTTTACTGAAGTCTACTTTAAAGCTGAAGCCACATCTAACCACCTTAAGCATCAAGCAAACACTTAACTTCTTCCTAAAGACCTTTAAAATTTTTATTTCTCAGGACAAGGAGCCCTCAAGGATTTTGAAAGCTTCATGACTGTACTAAAACAGATCTCCCACAGAATGGCAGAAATCCCAAACAGTCTCCAGTTCCTTGTGTGCTGCTGTTCTGATTAGAGCTGGAATCATGCAGCTTTGCCCTTCCTATCTTAGTCTGAATTTGCAAAATAGCCTATCAAGCTCTAACCAAAGATCAGGCATCCTGTATGACCTAATTATTTGGGTATTCATTTGAGCACAAGACATTGTCACAGGAAGGAAATCAGAGCACAAACACAGGCACATATTTAGATCCATAGCAAGTATGACAGTATCAATTATCAGAAGCTTTATTTCCTATAATTGGTAATCAAAGCACTGGTTAGCCTAAAATTTGCAACTCCCATTTTTTGATGGAGACTGCAATGCTGGCAATGTCTGTGGACTTTCCTTGTTTTTATTTGGTGGGCACATTGCAGATTTGGGGTTGAGTTTTTTTTTTTTTTTAGATATGTACTCTTTTTTATCAACACTCTTCAGATAATCAGAACTTGTGAAGGGCTGAGGTAGGAGAAACGGGTATGACATGGACACTTTGGGATTAAGCAACTACTGCATAGATCCTTTCAATGGCAGAAGACTGGAGTTGTCAACTCAGGCCTACATTCTAGTTCATTTTGCTTTAAGGGTATTGTTGCATATAGCCTGTGGCCAACTACATCCCTTAAGTTTCCTTTTTGTGCCAGGAACTTCAGATAATTGCCAAAACCAGTGCAACTGAAGGTCTACGAAACAAGTGCATACAGGAAAGCAGCTCAGCTGCACTGGTTATAGCCCTATCTGTTTCTTACCCATTTATCCTTCCTTGTCAGGTTTGGAGTATTTTTATTAGCAGACTAACAGACCCTTATATAATTTTTAACTTGATACAATTAGAAAACCAGCATTTTGAGTATTTAATTCAGCATTAGAGAATATTTTGTGGTGTCCAAATGATTAATTCAAAGTTATCTCCTAGCTAGATGCTTTTCTGGAAGTTACTTTCAGGATTCCTAGAAGAATATACAGGTCCTAGAAGCATATACAGGGTATCAGAACAAAGAATGTTATGCCCAACAGCTAGGCTGCCGTTAAATCTTATGAGTGCCGAAGGACCACATACAACAAAAACCTGAATTTTGCCAATTTGCCACTCCCAGACTTCAACATGGCCATTAATGCCCATCCAAAACTCATATGGAGTCCTCCAGAAGGGAAAGAAGTCTTTGCACTTTTACCTGTTGCAGCATTATCTGGCTACCAGGCATCACAAACATCATGCATTTCCATCACAAGTACTGAAAAAGTCTCTTGGGCATTTTGACCTCAGCTATTTTGTGATTTTATCATTCTCTCTCACTAGTCAAGTTTTCCAGGCAGCCTCATTGGACTGAGTAATTCTGTGGAAGCTGAACCTCTTTGTTCTCTATTTACCTTTCACTTTTAGTCAGGTTTGGGGGGATAATTTGTCTCCTAAAAGAGTTTAAAATTCAGCTTAACTACTACACTCTTTTCCATGCAACTTAAAGTTTTACTTAAACTTCATTTGAAAAAAAAAATTATTTGACATGTAAAACAATTTTCAACCCAGGAGGTCACCATTTTATAATGCATCTAGTTTTTGTTTTATCCAATAAAGGTTTTAAAAGAGAAAAGCTTAACTACATTAACAAAGACAATATATTAAGACACAGGAAAGCTTGTAAGAATCCAACAAAATCACTACAGCAGAAAATAAAAATTAAGATATACCTTATTTAACCTTATAAACTATAAAGAAATAACATGTAATTTTTTACCAAACTGTTGGAAGACATTCCTTCTAAAACCACGCAAAGAGCATTAGCTGTAGATTCTGATAGAGCCGCCAAATTCCCCCCCTACCCCATCCCATTCCTCATCCTAAATTTTGCAACACATGGAAATATGCACCATCAGAGCAGACCATTAAATGGAAACTTCACACAGTTTAACAAACTTCACTTAACTCAGAGTTGTCAAGATCTTGCCCAACAAGAAGACCTGAGAAATGTAAAGATGTGCAAATAAGTCAAATCCACACCTGACATTTTACACATCTCCCTGCCTTCATGTCAAATTTAAAGCAAAGTATTTTTAGAGACTCCACTGAAGAACTCCTAATACATCATTTATTATCAAGGACTTTCTCCTCTTCTCCAAAGCTCTCTTGTTAGTAAAAATCTGTACTTCATTTTTAATTACATTTTACTGAAAAAGAAGAGGAAATTATAATTAGATTCTGCATCAGCCCTTCAATAGGTGTACTTTGATTTAGACACTGTTCCTACAGTGGGCAGACAGTAATTAAATGATTTCTCACCTTGACTACTCCATCAAAGCCAGGGATCGTGTTGACCTTTGCATTCTTGGCTAACAATTTGCTTTCAATCTTGTCTCCCATAGCTTGAATAGCATGTGTGTCAGGTCCAATGAAGGTGACACCTTCTGATGCCTGCAAAGACAATGAAGACAAAACTTTAGGAGACAAAAATCAGCTTTTCCATAGACAGATATTACTATTAACTTTTTTCTCTTTTTGAGCTGACTAATAGAACAAGACTTATAAGGCAGTGATCTCTTTACATAACAACAGAGCAATATATAAATATTTCAGACAGTTCATTAAAAATGTGTATGACCTTGTGAAACTATGTATACACACAGATTCAAAGCCCTATAATTAGCATTTGTATAAATCAAAAGCTAGGCCAGAGAAAAATAGCTGCAAGTGGAAGTACTCCAGCCTGAAAGTTAAAAATATCCCTTCAGAAAACAAAGGCTTGTTAATTCACCATCGAAATAACCAAAAAATTATTTACAAAGATGCACTTGCCAAGTGATAACAGTTTAAAATTGTCTTTAGTATGCATTCCTAAAACCAAACCTCAATGAAAAGGCAGTCTTTAACTCAACATATATAAGACCTTGAAAATAAAGCAATAAGTGAAATTACACTTCCTGATTCTTTCAGGCAACTCTTCTCCAATAACAATGTGGAAAGTAGTTAACATAAAATGTTTTAATACTTCAACATCCATATGTAGGTAAAACATTGAACTGCAAGTTTCTTCCTCCTGTTTCTCTACGCCAGTAATAGACTGCAGCAAAGTTATTCAGACAGAAGCATTTTTTTAAATTTCTTCAGGTCTGTACTACATTAAGCTAAAGACAATTCTATCAGAACTTTTCCCTGAAAGCTGCTGATGCAATAGTAAGTGCACATGTATTTCAGGTAACTTTATATCTTTTGTACTGGATAGAGGAAAAAGATGAAAGAGGGATAAGGATGAATATTTTATTTTTTTTTTAATCAAGCCTTGCACAATTTTTCCATGTTACATTCATTTTCTTCTCCCCAAAGAAGATGAAAGAGGGATAAGGATGATTTTTTTTTTTTTTAATCAAGCCTTGCACAATTTTTCCATGTTACATTCATTTTCTTCTCCCCAGTTCTAAAATATCTGTAAAATGTCTAAAACAAACTTGCTTCCAGCCAATGGGCAGCTAACTTAATACCACTACTAGCAAAACAGTAAACAGCAGTTTCTTATATCACAATTTAGGCCTTAGTATTTTCTCTTTCTGACACATACTTATGCTACACAAACCATATAGTTACAGTCACTAAGGATAAAAAGTCACTTGTTGAAGCTTTGTGTATTTACGTGATGAAAATACATGATCCAATCCAAGAACACAGGAAAAATATGTTTAAGCTGGGAAACATCTTCCTATTTGTCATCTTATAAGAGCCAAGAGATCTCAGGAGTCACCGTTTGCACTGTCAGCAGCTTCCTAGCAGGACCAATGTGACAGATTAATAATGTGTAGATTATTTCATACCATCCCAGCTAACAGGGAAATAGAGACCATCCAGAAAAGACCAGGTGAGAATTACAGACACACAAGGAAGCTCAGTGCAAGGGCAACCAAACCAAATGCAGAGCATCAGTTCTGCTACATCAAAGGATTTTAGCTTTGACTCACAATGAACCATCTGGGGCTTTATCTCTGCCCACCTCTTCTCTACTGCATTGGACTTCTTATCTTAGTAACTCAGAAATTAACAACTTGATTGATAGCTGTCTTAGAAAGTTGGGAAGACTGTAATACAAAGAAGGAAGAGAGGAGGACCAAAACAAGGGTGCAGATCCATAATTATGTAGTGCTCAGATCCTTTGGCACTTGAAGAAATTCACTTTTTAAAGGAGAAGGGAAACAAAGCAAGGAGCTGATGCATGAAACCACAGTGACACAAAGTTTGGAGCTGTTTCAGAAACAACCTCAAAACTCATACTTCTTCCTCTCTTAAAAAGAGGCAGAAGCATACACCTAGAGGCAGGGCAGACTTCGGTCATCACACTGTATCCCAGTCTCAAAAAGCCTTGTGGAAAAGGTTCACTTCACATACTTGACAAGTGGAGATGACACTGTCCCTCTTGTATCACTTCTAACCTGGAAACACCTTGTTTCCACAGGTTCCCACAGTTTCTGCCACAATACTGGCATTTGCATCCTGACTAATACTACTTCAAATTTCACCATGTATTGCTTCATCTCCTCACTTTCTTCTCAAGAGTTCACCATCAAAAACATGAGATCGCCAGAGGTCAAGACAGCCAGTTCAAAACTTTTTGCCATAACAGACCATCCCAGATGGGCAGCTTGCAGTCTACCTCCATACTCTTAGAGCATTTCTCTACTCTCCTCTTTGTACTGACAGAAAATGAAAAATCTTCATTCAAACTGGAGGTCACAGGGGAGGATAAAAATGACATTGATGGCATCACCAAGCATGCCCCTTTCCAGCCAAGTGCCCATAGAGGACATCATGCTTGACCTACTGTCTCATCTCACTGATTTGTGGCATGGACTTCCAAAGTGTCCAGTTCACTCCCTGCTCCTGTCCAGATAGCTGGATAAGAAGAGAACAATACCATTCAGGAAAGATTCATGAACCACTTGAGAAGGAACACTGCAGACCATTTCAAGAAATTTATCTCTGCATCCAATATATTTGTTACATGAATCCTGTAGAGCTGTAGTATTCCACATGGATACAACCCCTACTGCTTACTAAAAATTAAGTACCAGATGATGTGCAGCAGATTCACATTATTCTAATGCAAATATCACCAGTTGCAATCTGTATCTTTGTCTTTTTGTAATGTATACTTTTCATAGGTCAGAATTTAGAAACTGCACTTGTCTACATATGCAGCTTTTGGCTTTAATGGCTTCAACCTTTGTACCTTACACAGACCAGCTATTCCATAGTGAACAAGTACCAGCACAGTACAACCAGCTATTCCCTCATAACATCAGTCACCTGGGGCAGTCACCACAGCCAGCCATTTCCCCTTCAACAATCTGAAACTAAAGAGTTTAACTCAATATAATATCAAAGAACACCTAAAACCATGTGATTCTGCATTCTGCAACATCCATAAATCAAAAATAAGTTAACAAACCTAGGAGGTTCTGCTGGTTTCCAGGCAGCATATCTAACCATCATTACATAGGAAAGGTGTGCATTCTCTGACATGACTCACAACTAGCTTTAGTTAAGCACATAAAAAAAAGACTGTCAGCTTAAGGGACTACTAATTAAAGTCTTGCTACAGTAATTTAATATGCCATCACTCAAAGATGCTTGCTCAAGCCCTCTGCCAAAGCTTCTCAGCTCATCACCAGAAAAGTACCCCAGCTTCTTCATTGCCCACACTCACACAATGTATTAAACAATCCATTCAAAAGTCTACTGCCCGATAATGAAAATGCCAAAAACAGACCATAAGAAAGAATACAGTGGCAACATCTTCAGTTCCCACAAAGATTTACCAGTTTGTTTACACACAGACCTGTCAGTGTGGCAACAAGTACTAAAATCTCCACTGTACATACACAAGCTTACACAGTGCATCTGAAACAAGTTCTTCCAAAACTTCTGTTACTCCTCCACACATCCAGCAGCACATTTCAGCCTTGAAAATTATCTGGCTGCAGAAAACACATCAAAATTTTCACTATAAACATGCACCAGCACTTTGTTCAGAAACATACCTGTTATATCTGTATATCACTGTTCTATTTTGCACAATCAAAGGTACAGGCAAATAATAAGGAATATTTTATAAAATAAGTTCATAATAAATTCACACCCAAAAAGTTAATTTTTAGTTGTCTTAAGTAGCAGATATTGAAGAGTTTTCCCCAACAGCCCACTACTTTTGAAAGCAGTAACAACAAGTTTAATAGTCAGCCCATAAGAACTGAGAGCAGTTTATTCTCCCTTTCTTTTGGTTTGGTGGTTGGCTTTCTTTAAGCCAGACAAAAGCCTCAGTCTATGCTCACGGAATGCAGGACCCTTAATATAGCAAAAACTAAACACAGTATCAAAGTACAACAAGCAAAGGCAAGATTTGGAAAATCCATTTGAGAAATTCATGATTGAGTTTGCGACCATCACAGTCACAGTCTGTCAAACATCTGACTGCTCTGGGAACAGTGGGCCAACAGATCTGTTAGTGTAAGTCATCATACTCTCAGCATCTGGAAAGGACCTGCTCATCTGATAAAACTCCTGTGGACCTCAGGTAATTGAAGAGACAGTCTAGAAGGGGAGTTCCTTTTGCACCTCCTCCTGGAAATTATGACTATAGATATTCACAGTTACTGTATTATACAGTCAGTAGTGGATTCAGTCTCAGTGACAGCCTAAGGAGAACTAAAGATAGAAAGCAAGAAGGAGGGAAAAGTGCATAAGCAACTTTTACACACATATACTTGGCAACATATACTCTTCTGTGGGCTTATGAATCTGTAGCAAAGCAGCCAACTCACTGCCAGGCCTCCTGGAGCTACAGGAAATGATTGAACAGTTCCAACTCAGCTTTAGACAAAACAAGTGATACTAAAACTTATCCTCTGTCTTCTACTATGTTAGTTATGGACAATTAAACACAGTTTTTGGTGTCCTCATTTGAGCTATTTGATACGTGAATCTGCATGTAATATCAGCCAAAGAGGAGCAGCTTCAACCAACAAGGAGATATGTCATGTACAAAAACAGTGCTATCAAGAATCTTGTGTTTTCTCTTTCAGGACCATTTGATGAGGGGATTTTTCCACTCACAGCATGCTGATGTGGCAAAACACACTGAGTGCCCAGCTGCTTCCAGGTGCAAGAGCCCCTGTAGTTACCTTACCACACAGAATCTGTGACAATAATGCAGGCTTTGTTCTTTGTCATTTCTAGTACTTGAAATGACTAGTTCTAGGGAAGTATTTCTCATCACTGAGGAAGAAATGGCTGAAAGGCTAGAGAGATCTCAGAAGCATTTGTAGCTGCTCTGCTTTATTGAAAATAAGCTTTTCTATGTAAACACAGAGCTGCTTTTAAACAAGTTCATGAAACTTACAGGAGAACCCCAACAATCTATTGCATGCTGC